TCACACGCCAAAACACAGTCTTCATGACGGATCTGCAGGAATTTCAGTTAGCGGACAAATCGCCTCAGGTGTATTCCAGTGTCAACTTACGCATGCCACGAGTCCACTTCACGAGTAGTCAGGATGACCTTAGCATTCGGGTAGGCTTCAATCAGCTCTTTAGCAAAAGCACAGGCGGGCCAGTCGCAGACAGCCTATACACGCAAGATCAGTTTGAATCCCTTTGCTTGTCTCGTTGATAATCCGAGGCTCACCTGGCACTCTCCCAGCAACTGATCCCATTCTTTCCTTCCAAACTCACCCACACCATCATACTTGGCGATGAGGCATCGTGCCACATCAAGCAGTCGGGAGGGTTCTCCACACTAGCAGACATCATATGGTAGCATTTCAGGTATCCGAGGCGCTCCAGAGCGATGCGGAGAGACGCTGTTCCTGTTCTCCCAACGCCGAGTGCCAGTACCTTCATAGGCACCGTCCGGTGGCACTTGCGCCGGTCAATGCAAGTGTCGTCGGTGAAGACATCGGTCATGGGCTGGGGAGCAAGGTTGTCCGAGTAGGTCAAAGACATAGTGACGGATGGGAAAGTGAGGTTCGTATGATATATATAAACTGTATTACAATGCGTATTCAAGAGACAGTGAGGTCTTCAGAAGATGATGGTCTAGTAATGGAGCAAACGAAGGATGTTCCCAAGACTCAAGGGAAAGAAAGAATACGAGAGAAAAGAATGGATTTTCCGAGGGCAAAGGCTTGATTAAAAGGAAAGAATCAGAGAAACCGAAAGTGTTGAGGAAGATAAAAAGGAGACTGGGAAGTAGATTGATAATAAATGTCATATACTGAAGAGGAAATAAATGTTAGCTCATTAGCGCCGCGATGTCCCAAAGAATCCCCATCTCAAGTAATTAAAAACAACAGTGGCAACTCTTCGTACTTGTGTACGCGAGCTGTACATTCGATATGGATACTCGTGGTCGTAATCAAAAAAAACGAAAATAATTTCCCTCTCCTGAATCTTGGCAAAACCCCATCCTTCCTCTTTTTTTGACACCCGTTTAGCTTTTTTTCTAATTCTGTTTGGGCACTTTCATCCTTTCAGATGCTCCCTGCGGGTCTCCCGTCCACGTTTGGGCCAAATCGGTTGCGGCAGTTTAAGCGTCGAATCCATAGAACTCGAGAGGCTTTGCTCGGCAGGGCGAACCAAAGACGTCAATGGATGACGCCCATCGAAAGCTAACGATTGTCAGGGGGTGGGGTTGTTCCTTGGTTGATTCTATACAGTGTCGGTAGCGCATGAAAATCATCCAGGATGGCCGGTCCTCATCGTGTATTGGCCTCCAGAGAGTAGGAACAGTCTCCTGATTGTCCTGTTTCTGTAACGGAGAGGCGGGGCGAAGAAGGAATAGAACACCATACACTGGGGAATGGAAACCGTGCCAAGATTTTCCGGCGAGAAGCGGCCGCGTAGCACTTAATTCGCCGATCGCTGGAAGTCGGGGATTGGATGAGGAGGCCTGAGGCTTCTCTGGTCTGGAAGCCCTGAGAAATTCAAACCCGCCCACTTCGTTTTTCTAATTGGTGGATCCTCCAACAAGACGACGCGTACCTTTCTCCAGACATTCAAAATCCATGCATAATGCACAATCCTGAAACGCACTCGCCTCTCCACAACCCGCAACAATCGCATTCGCTTTTTCATTTCCGTTTTGCTTCAGTTGTTCCATTATGTGACCCCCCCCAATCTTTTCTTTCCCCTTTTGTTACTGTTGTTGCTAATTAATGTTCAAAGTCATTGCTGGAAAGTTGGTGCTGCCGAGGCCGTTTCAGATGTGTCAAGCCTGTGCCCGCGGGTCCGTTCGTGGTTTGGGGTATGTCAACGATGCTGATCAAGATAGATAGTCCATCCACTAACGTTAGGATGCACTGTCCACTTTCCATAATCCACCTAAGCGGCCAATCCACCTCGGTGGAAACCACAGCCGTCGGACGTCGTAGAAATCCCGATGACGACAATCAAACTGAATTCCTATTCGGCAATAGTGTGTAATTGGTAAGGACTTGATCCCCAACATATTCAGTGACCAATTTCCTGTACCAAGAATCGTAATCCTAATTGGCATTGTTGAGCATGACTCGTTTAGCCGTTTAGCCTATCGGCCAAACGATCAATCAATCATCGCTGGATCAAGTTAGGCTAGACCTGTAACATTCAGTCCGAAATGGCCAAGATGGCAAGCCCACTGATTGTTTGTGGCAAATTGAGCTTCATATCTCCCGCTTGGGCACTTTCCACCATACTTTCCAGCAGTGTACAGGCCCTTCAAGTAGATCACTGGCAATAAGGTATCCCTGTGATTCCAGGTACATAGACCCTGCAGGGCTTGTTTCTGAATCATTCAATCAATACCATGGCGGTAATCATTGCCCGACGGAGATCGACTCGGTGTTCCGAGTTAAGCAACTCATCAAGTGCCCTCAATGCCAAGACCGTTTATCATTTGAGGTGAGCTCCGGGGCCCGATCAACGAGGCAAGTATCCTCGCCTTCTTATGATGATCTTCGCCAACTTCCCTACTCCGTACGGAGTCCATCACTGACCCGCCGGCGAAGACCGTTTTGGAGAAGTAAGCCGTTCTTTCCGCTAATCGGATGGCTCTGGAAACTTGGAAGTATCCGTATGTATCCAACTGTACAGGTATGTATCATGGTTGAAAGGGACTCGCGTGATAGTAGGGTGGTGTTATTCTCTTGGACCCTCTTGCTGTAGTGGTGTCGCATAGGCATGTGATGGTCGATAGTTTGGTAAACAAAGTAACTTCCTTATCGAGAATGGGCGGTCAGGTGATGCAAAGCTGGGAGTACACACTACTACTACTCAGTGTAGTTGTATGCATGGTCGGATGCTGATGGAATGAGAACTTCACTTGGAAAGATGTTAAGAGTAGTAAAGAAAAGAAAGAAAGAAAGAAGACATCAGCACGAGTCATCATAGCCAGCAATTCAACTCATGCAAGGAGGTCGTAACCCTTTTAAAGGAAATTGATGCCAAGAACCCTAACACAACACTCGCAATCGCACGTCTTGATCACCTCACTGTAACTATGTCCACTCTAGTATAATCCACCAAGGGTCTGAGGACTACCAAGAAACACTTTAGACGTTATTTGAGCTTAAATGACAGTTATGGTCAGTCTCGTGCAATGAGTGGACCGATGTGAGATATTGTCTCCGCTCGCAGGCATCACGGCAATGATTTCGGCTGTTGATTTATCTGCTGATTTTATATATGTCCCACGAACTGACATATCATGGCGGAAATAACGTGACCCAAGAGCCTCTAGTTCCTTACGGGTCAGTCATACGTGATTCATGATATGATATTCTTAGGTAAACAAATGTACTTGCTTTCCATAAGGTATTATCGTTGAAATTAGATAAACAAAGCCATCATAGAACCCTCTATCAACATGGATGGCAACAGTTGCAAGCGCAGCGCCCCGATATATGTTAACCCTCGAAACCAAATAACTCCGGATGGCCATCCCGTGACCATTTCAATGCTATAATATCCAGAACAGATTCTATCCTACCCACGCTTCCATAAGGCTGAAAGCTGTCTCACTCCAGTTTGTCCAAATGCTCGAGCCTCGTCAATACGACCTGCTTGCTCGTCTCTTCAATCTCGCCTGCCAGAAACACTTCGTCCAGAATCGCGTATACCTGTGCCAATTATTTGTCAGCAGTGGCTCCTTGTCGCAAGTGGGCAGCATCTCAATTCATCATAATATTTTCCAATGCCCACAGCAGCCGAGAGTGCCCAACGCACCTTGTAGAAATTGAACACCAGATCCAGCTCGCACACATTCCCAAAGAACTGATCTAGAACTTCGACGAAGAAATGGATGGCCTCGAGGTACGCCAATTCATTATCGGTAGCATCGACACAGGCGCAAAAGAACAACCCCGCATATCTCCGGTAAACGACTTTCGTACTCCGCTTGAACTCGACAAAGTTGGACTGATACTTCTGGTCTCTTGGTGCTACCAGGCGATGGACCTGAGGCAATTGGTCAGTTTTCCGGCCTATTGGTAACAATGGTATTGTCGCAAGTTGCCACGAACCTCGCCTTTCAGCTTGACTTTCTCCTCATCCTGCGCAAAACCGATATTAGCTAATGCTACATGATTTCTAAAGAGTTTTTAGAGAACTTACGCTGTACGGCGCATACCATTTTGCAAGGCGCGTTTTGCCCCTATCCACTAGCTTAGCATTGTAGATCGCTCGATTTATGTGTATACACAAGCACTCACTGCCGGTTCTGGACCAAGATGAATGAGAGAACCATCCCGCCTTGATGAGGAGCGGTAAGCCGATATCGATGGTGGCGTTGAGCTATGCCGCAGTTCGGTTCATCCGAATGTCTCCGCCTGGAGTCTTGGAGTATTGAAGATGTCAAGGCCGAGACTCAATATTGCCGAATATCACCGCCTTTTGTGTAATCTACATCGAACCAATGACGGGGTTTTCAAGGAACAATGAAAAGAAATACAATAATAATAATAATACTAGGGACTTGTTCGTCAGTAATCTTAAGGTCATCCTATATTTCGACAGTCGTCCCTCATTGATTTGGGATTGGTTATATAAATAGTTCCGAACTGTCCGTTAGCTATGAGACTGACTGGTCAGCTGTGCCAAGTGCCCTTATCCGCTGGTAAATTGAGGATCAACTCATGTCGCAAACACACATTTCCTGCAGTCATCGTCACACGATGAGCGCAGCAGTGTCTTTTTCCGGGCAATATTAACATGACAGCTTTTATTGAACGATCTGGTTTACTTAACCACTGCCTCCCCCATTAGGATCTCCAGTCGCTACATTTCCAGAACTTCGCAATGCCAGTCTACATGCTGTACGGCTTTAAGTGGCCGCGCGCTGGCTTCACGGGCATCCGAGTCTACATTGTCCTGCACAACCTGGAGGACGCAACAGCAGAGTACCTCCAGGCGCCGATCACTACCCAGCTGCTCCTCGAGTCGTTCGCGAAGACCGAACCGGGCATCGTATCCCGTCTACCCGAACTCCGATTTATCGAACAGTATGATCCCGACGATACCACCGATGAGGCTGTCAGCAAGCCATATGCCTATGTCGCGGGTAAAGTGATTACGATGCCAGAGTCGGGGGCACTTAGTTTGGATGCTGAGGAGCTGGTTAAAGAGTCAGGGCTGGATAATGATGCCATGGCGGCATTGACGGAGATGCGAGATAAATATGCCGCCGGTGAGAAGATTGGCTGGTATATTGTGTATAACGGGGATCCAGAGAGATGGTTCCCCCAGATTGAGGAAGATGACGATGAAAGTATGATGTACGAAGATGAAGATGGGGAGACTAGTGATTATGGTAGCGCATCACAACCCCCGTCAACTCCTACGGTAAGTGCTTCTTACGTGGTTGTATGCTCTGGCTGTTGGCACAAGCTGATATTGGTCATGTCTAGACATTTTTCCCCCAAAAGTTGACGCAGTTCTTTGGCACTAAGAAGATCACTTGAGACGGTTAGATGAGTGATGTGTGGCTATGCAATTTACCCAAAGCCCGATGGCTGTTATTGTACTCGTGAACATTGATTCTTGGATATTAGAATCACGGCATATTGGGTCTATAATTCATTTTCATCTCGTTATAAGCTAAGCTCTACTTCATGAACTAGCGCCGTATCCCTTCTGCCAACTAGCATCAAAGGTCGCTTTGTCCACGGCAAATTCTCGAATGTAGTCCTTCTCCAAGTCATGCGCTCTCCTTCCCAAGAGAACGAGGCTGTGAAGAGGCGGGCCCATCTCGACCTCTGCCAATTCCTTCAGAGTTCCAACGACCAATTTCTGATCCGGGGCTCCAACTCTCGCAGCTCCGACCGCGAGGCTGTCAGGTCCGTAAACACCTTCCTTGCGCTCCTCCTCGGTCTCCAGCATCTGACTGGCGCACTGCGCAACGGTCATATATCTCGGAGGCTCATAGATTAGGCGTCCTCGGGCCATATTTTCGTAAGACTGCTCCTTGACCTTAATGTCCAAAAGCACGAGGGTGTGAAGACCCAGTGATATGTTCTCCTTGATCTTATCGTAGTATGACGAGGGCTTCCAGTTTTCTGTGAAGAACACCATGCTGACAGTCTGACCGAAGTTATACAGCTGCAGCCCTGTGCAACCAATGCCAGACATGATCGATGCGTTCGGGATGACCTTGGATTCGATGCCCAGTTCGCGGGCGCGCAGAACGAGGTCTGTATGGGTAGTGGCGCTGCACACACGTTAATTTATGCCTCCGATAACAATCGCGCAAAGCTAACACCTACCCAAAAGGATCACCGACGACTAGGAATGCAACATCTGTTTTATCTGCCCCAGCGAGAATCTCATCGCTTCCGGTCTCGACCTTTTCACGGTCTGCTTCAATAACAGGACGTCCATAGAAAGCTTCCTACTGAACCAATCGATGATCTGGTTAGACAATTCCGTAGCAACAAATAATATCTGTCATACACAAGGACACTCACTAGCTTCTCTTTGTTTACGAGCAGAATACTTGTGTATGCTTCGAGGTAGACCCTTTCGGCCCTTTTCACCACCTCTAAGCCTTTGACAGTAATGTCAGTCTCATCGGCAAGACCCAACCCAACGAGGTAGAGCATTTTGAGAATACACAAAATTAAATCAATGAGTATAATAACTGTGTTATTCACGATCAAAAAGTTTCTCTATCACCCCACCAAATGCGGCGGGATGACGGAACGCGGGTGAAGAGTTGTTCCGGATATGGGGAGGTCACTGGATATCAAGTCACGGGGATGGATCCTTTGAACATCCCCATTGTTGCCTTTCGCGACCAACTTGAATTCACTCATTTTATTGTTTATAGTGTTAACACGCTCACTTGACTGTATTGTACCTTTTTCTTTGGCTGTGAATGATGTTAATGTGTCATTCTTGATTCGCCAACATGTCGACCGATCGTACTCCGAAGTATCGGCAGGAAATCCAGCAGGTAAGCTCATACTATCTCCTTATCTTACCCTTCTAAGCCTCATCTTGTTTGTGTTTTCTTTTGTTTCTTGCTTTTTGGGCCGCTTGCGTACATTAAGCTACGTTAACATAGCATAATCGTTTGTATATTTGTCATCATAAGCTTAGTCTTGCTGCTCGCATGGCGCAGTAAGGCTCCTCGTGATGCGACTGTTACTTGTCATCTATAATTCCCGATCCGGCTTGATATGTACTCTATGTGGCGCTACTTCATGTAATACTTCATTCTCACAATTGAGTTCATACTTGGACTTGCTTCGCCTCTCAAATAATTGGGGTGTTGCAAATGACCCACTATGCTCCATTTATGCGTCTTCCCGATCACAACAAATCGAAGTGGACCATCTCAGAAACAATATGAAGACAACAAGAGTACTTTCAGCCTCACTAATACTATGAGCAGATGATGTTCGTCTCTGGAGAGACTGCCGAGCCATCAGTGGAAACAACTACTCTGATAGAAGAGATCGTTCGCCAGCAAGTCGTTGAGATTGTATGAGTACCTTCAGCCATAAAAGTACAGTTTGCTCACATTCACTACAGCTCGCTCGAAGTACAACGTTGGCTACCCGTCGAGGAGTCCGCTCTATCTCGACTGATGATTTGATCTTTCTCATCCGCCATGATAAGGCTAAGGTATCACGCCTGAAGACCTTCCTTTCCTGGAAAGATGTCCGCAAGAATGTCAAAGACTCGGATGACAAAGGTGGTGCCGACGCCGCCGAATTTGCAGGAGCCGATGACCCCCTTGCGGGAGGTGTCGTCGCCGGTCCGCAAGATGTCGCTTCAAAACCGAAGAACAAGAGGGCCCGTGTTGGTCTCGCATGGGATGTGAACAGTTTCTACTCGGTCCAGGTTCCAGAGCGAGAGGACGAGGAAGACGAAGAGGAGGAAGAACAGAATTATGCAACCCTCCAGCGTCTTGCTGCAGCAGACGAGCGAACCAAGCACATGACGAAGGAAGAGTACGTGTTCTGGTCCGAATGTCGTCAGGCATCCTTCACCTATCGTAAGAGCAAGCGTTTTCGTGAGTGGGCTGGTTTTGGTATCGTAACCGAATCGAAGCCCAACGACGATATCGTCGATATCCTCGGTTTCCTCACGTTCGAGATCGTCCAAACTTTGACTGAGGAAGCCCTCAAGGTCAAAGAACGCGAAGACCGAGAGAAGAATCGGCGAGGAGGCGCTGAAAATGGCTCCGGTGAGAATACTAAGAAGCGGAAGCGCGAAACTGGTCTCTTCGATCCGCCCGAGGAGGGACGAACACCAGTTGAACCGAGGCATATCCGCGAGGCATACCGTAAACTTCAAGCTACTTCGAACAAGAACATCGCAATGCTTCTCCATAATGGGCGCGTCCCAGCACGGATGCCTTTGAGACTGGTAAGCCCATTCATTCAGTTTTGATCGTTGGTACTAACATATTCTAGATTTAATGGGATGGCTTTACTTTGGGCTTGTACCGGAAATGGTTGGAGTTATATACACAAGATACCCACATGATGACTGTACGATATCGAGACTTCTTTTTCAGTTCCTTTGTTTTCTATCCGGGATATACGGTTTCGTTCCTTCAGCAGCTCCTGTACTATTTCGAACATCAATCATTTTGATTATCTCCACCATACTAGGCATTAATTCCTCGATTTATTTCGCACCCAGTCCCTAAGCGAACCGAGACTCATCATTACACATGTACATAATCAATCATAAGAAGGCCTTGGCCCAGCGAAAAGAAAAGCCCTTATTTATGCGTCCGGCGCCCTACCAACAAGTCAGCACGTACGGAGTACATCCAACCCCCAAAATAAAAAAAAAAAAAAGCCACAAAAGAAGGAAAAGAAAAATAAGGGGATAGAGAAAACTCACACTCAGCCAACTCCCCCTCACTCAACTCCCGAATACTATTGATAGCCGGCACATCGCCCTTAGTAGCACTCTTGATCGTCTCAATGGCCTTCCCAAAGATGCCCCTCGTAGCCACCGCATACGTCGCCAACTTCGCCTCCAACCGAATCACCCCGATCCTCGGATCCGACGGACTCCCATCATGAACCCCGTCACCAAGATCGCCCAACCAAGCCGGCAGCGTCGGCGAGTAATACTTTTCAACGGTAGCCTTGTCAGCAACGATCGAGGCAGTCCCCGAAATAGACGCCCAGGACCCGCTGACTTGGTCCAGGAAGGACATGTTGACTTCGCTGGGGTGCGTGGTCAGGTCAAGCGTCTTGCTGGAGAAGAGGTTGATATGGAAGAGCAGGTCAATGCCGCCGTTTTCCTTTCTCATATCAGTCCAAAATTAGTATACTGATACAACAACTTGTCTTGAGTGCAACCCATGACCAGGGAAGTGAGAGAGAGGTAGGAAGGAAGGAAGGGAAGAGAGAAATACCTTCCCGGCCAACGCCATGCATCTCGACGTCAAGTATTCCGAGCCGGCGATCTTGGTCGTTAGCATGCCGAATTTGGCCTCGGAGATGAAGTCCACCAGGTCTTCGACCTTTTGGGCCAGGGGCGGGTCCTCAAGGCTTTTGGCCTTGTAGGGGTCGATGGGCTGCTCGCCTTTACTGGTGTTGATTGTGGCGGACATTTTGGGTTGTTTTGTTTCAGTTGAGGGGTTTATGAAGAGGATTGGGTGTTCAGTAGTTGTATCTTGTGGGAGGGATAGCCATGGCGATCATTGTTTATATAGGACTTCGATGTATACTATGATGTACGAGATGCCAAGTCTGGCGTAGGCATGACGTCAAAGCCCTAAGCGGCATTCAGGGGACTTGAATTTATTATGAGTTGCTGTTGATGACGTTTTTTTGGCGCTTGTTCCACCAGGAATGACTCTAATGTTACTTGAAGTAATATTATTGCCTGTGTAGGGCGATGATGCACGGAATTCATTTAGGAACAGGGCATAATCGGGTAGGTAGTTATCCGCGTTGTTCTCAGGATAGAATGCTGCCACTATCTATATTACAATTGGTTTGGTCTGAGCAGAATCAGAGAACGGGACAAAAGAAGAAAGTGTTTGAGATAAAAGTTACAAAAAGCGTTTTTCGCTTAAACTTAGGATAAGACTGTTCTCGAACCAATACTTTCTTGCCATCTGTCGGGATTTCGCCTCACTGTGTCCGTTGTCGTCGATAATGTAATGCGGCCGTTCGCGACAACGATCAAAAAAGAACAGGCCCTGGTTAGATCGGCATTTGCTCGATGATTACCAGAAGCAAATGCCAGATTGGACTTCGTTTCTGAATCGGCAACCCAATCTAGGATGTATGTCTGACTGTAGCGAATTGATCGGCTCAGTATGTATATGTGCTTTCAATATAAAATAATAGTCAAACGCAGCATGCGTATCGAATCAAATCAAATCAGGGAGAATACATGTCTCATTGTTAATTAGGAATGACTGCCGCGACTTATTTGACATCCTCTTAACACAACCTCCCTGTTCAGACCAAGGGGCCTCCCGCACCTATCCGATAAGCTGGCCATATCAACACCAGCGAACAGGCCTGATGACCGGCTCGCGGATTAACCGTCGCTCTCGGTTAGGCAGGGGTTGTGAGCGGACGCCGTCAGTATTGGAAAGTATTGGCCGCCTTGACTTGAACTTTCACGTTTCGATCAGTGATAGGAACGTCCAAGGAGCAACCATAGGGCTTCCGGTTATGATTAATCAAGTTAGGTTAAGACCCATGATGAGGTACAGTTTTATGGTAAGCTGCAGCGTGGGCACGAGCTCGTAGCCTCATCCTTCATTGCCGTATCTCGACAATCGTAGTCGGCTCCATTGTTATGTCCACATTGACATCCCGGCAATCTCTGTACTGAGTAAGCTCAGTTGGTAACCGGAGATATAAGGGAGCGCAAGAGCACTGTCTCGGAGGAAGCTGCACCGCAGGACGCACGTTGTGCGCCGTTACTAGAGGTGCATCGCCCATGTCAGTATCATGGTCTTCCTCGGTGTGGGTCCGCAGCAGCTCAGAGAGCTCAGCTGGGTACCGTGTTTGAAAAACGGAAGGTGTTTCCGTTGGCGGGACAAGACCACGACCGATGGACCTGAAGGTACACCTTCGATATCACCAGGTCGGTCGTGGGAAAAGTATTGGACTGACCCTGTAGGGTTTGCCTCCGTCACGGTCTCCGGCCTCGCCCATGTCAGCGAATGGCGCCTTGCAGTGACGTCTCTGAGGAGATCTATGAAGAATCTCACCCATTTTCTGACTGATCAGTGCATCTTGTCAATGCCATCGTTATTCCAGTCCCTCAGGTTGCCAATGATTATCATGACTTTCTTGGCACGACTAAGGGCGATGTTAAGCCGGTTTGCGTCTGCCATGAAACCTGCGCTGGCGACATTCTGCGAGGGCTTGGTCATCAGAAACACCACGCTTGGTGCTTCTTGGCCCTGAGCGGCATCCACTGTAAGGTTGTCGCGGTATCTAACCTGTTGCTAGCTCAGATCCTTTGTACAAGAACTTTCTGGTCTTTGTACGCGCTTATTATCATGACGTCCTCAGGTCGCCGTTGGGCGTCTGAAACGAGTACAGGGACGTCAGAAGGTGGCGGAGCACGTCCCCCTGGGTCTCATTAGACCAGGAGAGACTGTTTTTCATGCGCTTAGCTACTCCAATGACGCTAATAAACAGTTGACGCACGCCATGAACGTTAAGTGCTCGAAACCAGTGACGGGATCCGGGAAAGGAATCCCGCACTCTGCCAACCCGCTCTAGTCTGTCATTTCCGGGGCCATGGACAAACTCTCCCCTGTACATCTCACGGTTGAACAAATCTAGAATCTGGCTATGATTCTGATCGTTTGTCTGGAGCATTATGCAGGAATAACCGGCTCTATAAAGCCTTTCCATCAGAGAGCGGTTAAGAAACCTCGCTCCCTCGTTGGGCCCATGCTCAGAGATTACCGTGGGCAAAAGTTGGCCGGAGTCACCAAACACCTCGGGTCGACGGCATTGTCAACTCAATGCAATGATCCCCCTCGAGGCACTGCCCTACCTATCGCTAACAACGAACGCCGGCTTGAAATTTGACAGGCGCCGGACGTCATGAGAAGCGTTGTTCAATCTCGTAGCAATGACACTGCAGCGTTGGAGGTAACCCAATAAGGTACTTTCATACGACGAGCGTAGCTTCTTGGTACTATCTCTGCTGAAGGGCCACGTTTCTGGACAATTGCTGGCGTCAAGGAGCTCAAGGGAAAGGCTTGATTTATCACTCCTTTTCTATGGCCATGTACTCAAGGAGAGATTTGCAGTACTTATCTTCGTGGTTCTGTTGCGCATGGGCGACAACCAAGTTGTGCGCTTGGACTTTTTCCAGAGTAGGATTCGCCTGGTGGTCATTTGTAGCATCTGCCTGCGCCCTGAGCCTGGCAATAGGATCATCAGCACTCTTTGCCCGGATCTGCCTGGGTTGCAGATGTTCTGAAGCGTACAAACTGGCCGCACCAGACACATAGGAGTGCATCCCTTGCCGCTGCAATACCCAAGGATTCCAGAAGGTTATCCACAGCTTTATTAGAGACGGCGTATATGTTCTAGCCGCTCTTCCTGGAAGCGCGATTCCAAAGCGGACACGCTTTTGAAATCCAGAACGAAATAGCATGCATTCTCTGGATTTAGTTCGGAGCCGTGACCGAGAACGGTCCGGCGAACGGAGAAGCCTTGTTCTGCTCCCCGAGTGGTATCACCACAGACAGTAACGTTGGTGACTTCATTGAGTGCGTTTAGCTACTCATCGATAGCCATTATGTTTGGCTGAATGACTGTCACGATCTGGAAGTTAACATTGGGCTTAACTTCGGTGCCTACGCTTTCCGTTGCGATGACCAGACCCGCCGATGACTCCACCTCGACTACTCTGCCCTTCATTAGCAAGTCGCCTTCCTTATAGGTGCGACCTTCTTGGGCCACTTGAAACTTCACTTCCGTATTCTCGAGAAGCTCGGGAACATTGACGCTGTTCTCCGACGGCGTACACAGCTTGATGTGAACGAGAGCGCCCCTACTTACGCCATCAGTCGTACAGTAGACTGTGTGTCGAAGGCCAGGATTAAAGACCTGCGTAATAACGCTGCGCTGGGTCTCGCGTTCACGACTAAATCCAGAGATCAGATATTGAAACGCTTTATTTCTTCCCCACTCCCACGGCGGCGTGCTGCTCGCAGACTGTTCTGTAGGAATCGAGGTCGTTATAAGTCTGTACCTCCGTTCGCTGTCGTCGATGAAAAACGGGTCCACTGGATCCCATTTGACATATTCTTGATGCCCAGCGTCAGACTTCGTCCAGAGCCAGGCACCCAGTTGTTGAATCAGCGGGGTGATTGTGGTACCACCAAAAGGACTTGCCGCTTAAGTTGCCCACTTCCTCGATACATAGGGATTGCAACATACAGATGCAGTCCAAGGATGGAGCAACATCTTTATATTGTGGCCTGTATTCCAGGAACACGGTGAACTCGGGACAGAGCCATTCGGTTGTTGTATCACCGAGGATTGACATCAAGAAATCCCAATCGGCTCTCTGACCGGCGTCGAGTTCGCGGGAGGGTTTGGGAATTACCGGACGACTGCAACACCATACTTGGTAGTAGTACACCTTATTCCAATCATTAAGTCCGCTGTGATTCTGACGAGCCATCATGACGTAGTCTGAGGTGTGCTGCCCCTCGCCTTCGATCCCCGGATTTACTGGGCAGTCGGCCATGGGGAAGATGATCTGTCCATATTCCTTTGCCCTGAGACAGATCACCAGTCGACTGCTGAGAGTCAAGTATTACTTGAGCCTTGCCCGGTATTAATCGCATGTCGATTGCGATTTTGCAAGGACGCCATTTTTTGCATTGCGCCTGAAGGTTTGAGGGGGCATCGACGCCTTGTGGATGATTAAACCACTGCGAAAGTTTTTTGTTCGCCGTTGTTGACATTGTTGCACTTACATATAGTACGCAGGAGAGCCTAGCGCAGTGTTCAGTTATTACAGGAGCTCGAGGAGATAGTTGGAAGGCAATTTCAGGAGGCGGAATTTGTCAAAGTGAGCCGAAGTCTGCCACCAGTCCGCCGGAAATCCGTATAGGGTCCTATATGGGTTCATACCGATTGTAGAGTATTGTAAAATAGCCGAAGCTGAAGGATTCGTAGAGCGTGCGTGCACGTAGAAATCGAAACTCTCAAAGAGAGCCGGCAATAATAACCACTACTGCCTGCTATTATCCCGTCGGTTTATTCTTGCCCTCCCTACTTTGATGCAGAAGCAGGCGTGGATGGTTGGCATCCCATTCTCCGGCGTCCCTTGCATCATATGTGTAGAAGTCCATATCGCGTTGTCCATCACAGCTGTGTTCACAATTTGCTCATCCTTGGTGGTTGCCAGAGACCCCCTTCTTCTTTGCTTCAACTGCCAGAAGAATGCACTCCATTTCTTGTGGTGCTTGATACCAAAGGGAATAGTTTGTGGGCGGTAGCTACCTATTCGGTAGTCCTGAGGGCGATGATGACCCTTCAGCAATATAATCTGTATCCGGAAGAGCCCTCTCTATCCCACCCAGAGGAAGTAGACCATGAAGGTCATACAAGCTCGGTTCATGGCTTCGAAGACCTGACTGACTCAGTGACATTTTTGAAACGTTCCAGTTGTTCAGGCGTCAATCACTTAAGTCATGGGGCACGGTGAGAGCTTTTAGAGAAAAGAGCATCCACAGCATCTTCATGGAACAGTGAGCTCCTGTGGTGGGAAACGTCGTATGGCACTTTTCTCAGTGAGGTCATCAACTCATCACATAAGGTGATGTTCTCGTCACCATATTATAAGATAAGCCGATTACGTCTTCACCTCGCCCTGTACCGCCTCCGTATTGGAGTTCGCGCCTTATACCTGTAGGCAATTCTGTTGAGACTGTAAAGTAAGAGAAATGCCGGCCTTCGTATCCGTCAGACAGACCTCTGCCTAATTTGAGGTGCCAACGAGATTGAGGCAATTTGTAAATCAAGGTCATGTGGACAAAATGTAGCACTCGGTGCGGAGTTGATAGTGGAAATAATCGACGGTATCATAGGGCTCCAACGCTTTTGCTGGGTAGTGCCATGCCTTATCATGACTTCAATCGTTTGTATGACACGTTCTGACTGACCGTCAGTTTGCGGGTGTGCAGCCGTAGAATACAGCCATTTATCACCAAGAGAAGAAATAACTGAGGACGTTGCTGTTCTCATAGAAGTATGGTGTGATCTATTTCTTCAAAGGAGTGAAATGAACAACAAAACGTATTGCCTCGCTTATTCTGACAGAATTCATTGTGCTGATTGACCAAACTTCTGCTGGGAGAGCTGGGCAGCGCCTTAAAGGAGCCTTGGAAGTGCTTAGAAAATCAATATCATCTGCTTCACTCCTTGATTTCCTATGCTGGATAATCAGTGGGCGATCCATTGGCTGCTGACTCCCGTCTGTGTCCCAGGCTATCTCGTCTTCGGTATAGCTCTCGTGGACTGGACACGCACCACAAGCGGTTGCGTATTCGGAATGCAAGTGGCTATCGCATTGAATTGCGAGGCAGCGGTATTGACTATGTTGTTCGCCGACGCGGTAATGAGGGCTTGATGCCACTTGCCAGTGTGTATTTGCGTGCTTCTTTGGGTTCATAACCTCCTGGGGTCATGCAATTGATATGCCAAGATACCTGAACCGTGTGTATGTTCGTATGGCTCTCTGCGGTGGTCTAGATATGATAACAACCACAAACGGTCTGCCCTTCGTCACATATCTGTAGGATCGCAGACTGAATGCTTCCTGCAAATCCTGTCACGAGGATAGCCTCGCCGAGCTGGGCACGAACAGCCAACTGGGAGTCAGATTTCATCAGCAGTGAACCCCATATCTGCGAAGCAGTTGGTCGAGGTTGAGCAAATGAGAGAGTGGGAGAAGATGACCGTCCATCCTAAGGTTAGCAAGAGATTAAATCCCTTCCTTTGAAGATTACGTAGCCCGAGGATTTCCTCCCGGAACCTGAGGCTTGTGGTAACCTCATGCGATACAGAGTATTCTTCGCCGGCACCACATGGGCCACGAAGTTATATGCGGCGTGGATAGGCTTACTGTGAAGAGGCAGCGATCGATCGAGGGACAACGGGTGTCTGGTAATTATAAAAGTGATTACCATGTCCTATGTAGAGTAGCGCTAAGGCTGTCCCAACTGCAGTTGCCACGTCTAGTGGATACATGAGAGAGAGACCTTGGGGCTCGCCTAAGATGTCGATGAGTCCACGCTATCCTTAACTGAAGAGGGAGAAGACATGCTTGGATGGATGGTCTCAACGGGCAAGGGAAAGAGAGATCAAAAGGAAGCCCTAATGTATGCCGGGTGAGATTAGTTGTCCCACAGTGCTTTGAAAGGATCTGGTAGAGAACAAGAATCAAAATCAAAATCAAAATCAAGGCGGGCAGGGCTACTATATATAAGGGGCAGGTGGCAATTCCATTCACGGAGTTTTTCTTTGTTTGCTTTTTCACTGCCATCTCATTCATTAGGGAGGTTCGGATATTACCTTGGTGGCTTTGTGAGTATGAATGCAATGGGCAGAAGTTATTGAAGAGCTTTACTGGGGTGAAGTGGGATCATTCCAAGGCCCGCGCAGAGAATTCAATATTGAAACATTATTTCCAACAAGAATATACAGTAGTCTTGTACATTACAGTAGTAGTGAACTATTGCTGCTGCTTGTGTCGTGCTGGATGAAAAATGAGGCTCGCCATAGTTTCTCTCCAATAAGTTGATTGAGTTGACCGCAGAGCTGAGCAGCTTGCAAAGGGGCTCCGCTTAACAGAAATACTTTTCCCATTCCTGAGATCGTCTTGGAGACCCTAGTCCTCAGTCCCCCATGTACTCCTTCTAGGCATGCTGTTTCACATCAAGGCGTTCAAGAACTTCTCCAAAGACAGGCTAGTGGTAGACTGTCCGGAAAATTTGTATAGCCTCGGTGTTATGGATGGACTTGGACAACAAGAACTGAAATTGAAAGATGAAATCCTCGATCAGTTTGTGTTCTGTCAGGCCGTGCGTGGGCTGGATGGGATTCGAATCGCCTTAGAGAGCAACTCACGGAAGGAGCACTTTGATATTGAATGAAATGGCTGCGTCCATACTAACGCAGCCATTGTCTGACGAACACAGGACGTTACCAACGAGCTCCAAAACGTGATGTTGCACCATGATAGCATCGACACTTTCGTCAAACATGATAGCGTGGGCATCCACGTTGACGCTCAGGCGATTGTTCGGGGACTGCCGGTCCAGAAACAGCTGATGCAGTTTGCGGCGTCTTTAAATCCATCATCATCATAGTCCATCCTTCGGATTTGAAGACGCTCCGACAGCTGACCTCTTTATCAGAAGCTGCCAAGAAGCATCGAGAAGCTTCTGAAGATGAGAGAGCAAAGCGCAACTTGGAGGAAGCGGTTGAGAGAACCTTTCGACAGCAAGAAGTGCCTAGGCACAACCCTAGGAAATGAGATGCTGGGGATCAATCATTTGGCCATCGTGTCGCCTTCAAAGGCTTGCTGCAGACGGATGTCATACTCTTTCCTGTTCGATAGTTTACTAGCTGCAACCTTGACCCAGTCCTGTGCCCAATACCATGGCATAATCTGTTGGAAAGTATCATGCTCAGGACAATTCTCGAGAAATATGGGCTGAATTTGCTTGTAAAACACTGTAAAGAGACCGGTGGGGCTGGCGAGTGCAAGTGCATACCAGAGCGTTCCCATCTTCCAGCTCTCTTCCATAATATCTGACAGTTGCGGGCTTTCATGGTTGCTGGTCGAAGTGCTGCTGAGTCGTTGTTCTTCAGCGATCAAGATATCCATGAATTCCCCACGCATCATGTCATACTCCTCTGGCTCTTCAGCGATCTAATCTACGACCTTGTTCGTGAGTCAAGTCGGTGTTCGAAGCATCTCGATTGGTCGAGTACAGGCCCATTCAAGATCTTCTCTTTGAGCCGTTGAGTATGTGATCTGCCCGTGAAGAAGAAGACGCGTCTTCGGCATGTCGAGAAAAGAAGAGCCATCGAGTAATGCAACTCAGAATGGTTTAACGATTGTGCAATGCGTTCTCTGTTTCCTCATGACTGAGGACCTCTTTGCCGGACCTGTTTCTCCACCGCTTAGCAGTAGTTAAATCGCTAGCGGTTCAGGGGATACATTTTGGCCAGCCAGAAATTTGGCGCTATCCCTTAATAAGACAGGCGCTTTCTTTTCAGGTTTTTTTTTTGAACGATGCCCCACATGGTAGGAATTTAACCTACTGGATAGCGTGGGGAAAAGACCAGATCAAAGAATATCTTTATAAACCTTGAAGGAGACTCATAGATTTCTCGACGGGCAATGGCGTACTTAGGATCCAGTATGTACAGTATGCCTGTCCGAGTTGCAGGCTATGGAGGGCCTTCTCTCAGATTGAGATACCGGGGATACTACTCTGTCTGCTAGATGGCTAAAAGACAAGGATACCTGCATCATGTTGACCATTATCACTCTGAAGCGTAGGCAGGACGATGATTTTTTCATCTATGAAAGTTGAAGTCTCTCTTTGACATGATATAGGGTTCGGCGATTTTTGTTATAGCTCATTACAGCATAACGAACTTGCGCGTTTTATGATCATTCACGAGCTAGTACTATTCCTAAGTATAGGCGAACAACCCTTTTTTAGACGTCATTAGGAGTTTAGGACAAAGTGAAAACTAAGCCCTGGTGCTCAGGGTGAATAATCAACCCTACTTACTCCATAAAAACGTGTCCAATGATCAGTGAGTGATCAGGTACTATGGGAAGGGCTCTGGGACTGCTCAGGGAGCGATCAGGGCTCAGTGAGCAAAAAGCAGCGGCACTTCGGACCGAATCTGGAAACGGAAAGTCTTACAATATCCGCAAAAAAAAAAGAAAAAAGAAAAGAAAAGAAAAGAAAAGAAAAAAAAACAGTTCAGTAGTATAAGTTCTCACTTAGAATATAATAAAAAATCCACCCATCAATCGTATGAAATGCTGAAGAAGCGAATCGTATACAATCAGTCAATCAATAATAATAATAATAATAATAATCACACAAACATCAAATCGTAAACGGGTATCCCGGAGTTAAGAAGGTAATAAAAAAAATAGTAGTGAGAAATGAAAATGGTGAAAAGAATTGCGTCTTATGTGGTGTCTATAACACCATTGCGGCGATGAGTCCAACGACCAAACTCAACATAGACGCGCCCGCAGTGGATGCCGCATTTTCTTTGTCGACTTGGGTCGGAGAGGGAGATGACGCAGCTGCTCCGTCGGTGGACATCGCATACGATTGGGCATCGGTCTCCGCCAGCACCTGTGGGCTTTGGCTAGGCCAGCCGCTCGAGGCCAGAGCTGAGCTAGAAACCCAGCCGGAAGAGCGGGACACGCTAGGGGTCACGCTGGGGGGTGAGATGAGAGTCGAAGTGGCCGTTGGGGTTGGGGTACTGGACACTGTTGTGGATGTAGCCGTGGTGGATGGAGTCGTCGAAGTAGTGCTGCTTGTGGTACTAGTGCTGCTCGTGGTCTTGACAGTGGAGGAAGAGCTGCTGCTGACAGTGCTGGAGCTAGTGGAAGCGGCCGTGGAACTAGAAGATCCACCACCACTGCTTCCACTCTTTTCAAATACGACAATGTTGGCTTTCTCACCCTTGGGTACCGTCACCACACAGAACGCACCACCACCGGCGCCCGTTGAAGAGCTACCAGTAACCTCATTGACGTTGTTAACAGCCGGGTCGATCTTGCATGGCAGACCATTGCAGCCATCACCCTCGCACTCAATCTCGACTCCGAAATCGGGCACCACATCACGGAAGGGGGTGGTCTGCTCCAGATAGATCGGGTTCCAACCAATCTTGACGAAAGTGTTTCCGTCGCCGTCAGTATTGGCACCGGCAACATAAGGCGTCCAGTTGCCCAAGGGTTTGTCCGAGGTCCCCCAGACACACGCGGTCTCAGGATCGTAGCCGGGAGGGTTGATGTAGAAGCTAGGGTTGTCAGAACATTTCGTTGCATGCAATAAGATCGGAGTACTTACTGGGCGGCAGTCTCACACCAGTAGCTCAGATCAGGCACAGCGAGCGTCGCCAACTCCTCGACCAGGGTCGGGATCAACATGGCTTCATTGCCAGGCAAGACGGTCTGACAGAACGAGACCTGGCTTTTACACTTGTTGCGCGCGCCCACAGCACCAGTACCATCCTGACAGTAGGGTTTGTTAGGGAATGGCTTCTGGATTTTACCATCTTCATCGCAGTAGAGACCGCCATTCTACCAAATCCGTCAGTATCAACTTCTGTCACGACACAAACACCGGGACACTCACCATTGACATGGGATAACTATACGAGGTAGCCTCAGGATCCCACTGCATGGACACCTGACCAGGAGGACAAGCGTACGGGCAGTAATTACCCGGCTTACATGGTTGATCCGGGCTCATGGCCCAACCGGCATTCTTGAGGTTCGGAGTGACGGCCACCAAACCGGCATCCTTGGGGAATTCACAGCTTCCTCCTCGCTTCTCCAGTGGCGCCTCCACTTCTGCGGCGGAGTTCAGATCTCGTTGGTGATTGTGGATGTGCCCGTGTCCGTGCTTGGCAGCTTCGACGGCGACAATGAGCCCGAGAAGTACGGGCGACGAGATAGTGAGCTTCATTTTGGACTAGTTGTATTTTCTTTTTATCTTATACTGAACTTATATACGGTACTGATCGTGGTTCGGACCGGTAGAGAGCCTGATTGACACTACGGAAGTAGGTCAAGAAACGAAAGACTAGGGTGAGTATTAAAACGAATGACTGAAAGTGAGGAAACACCACGATCCACAGGCGAGATTTGGAACCTGAAGATGGGAGAAAGGGAAGAAGGAAAGGAAAAAAGAAGAGGAAGACGAAGAAAGAGGCAGAGGCAAGACCAAAAAGGGATCCCGGGCATGCGGTGGTCGGCCTTTTTTCAGCCTACAGCAAGACTAGAGGATTACCCATTCGGGATAACCTCGAAGCTATTGACAACGCCTTAAACTGCTTTGGGAGATGACTCCGCCTGGAAAAGGCAATGGGGTTCAGGGGTAAAGCCAATCATCGTTGGCACTTGGCCCTTTTGGCCCCGATGGTTCGTGATAAGAGGATCCACTTGGTCCGTGGGGAAAACTTATTCATGCGGTTTGATTGATGCAATTTTCTGGCCTGAGGGGTGAGGACCCTGTTTGTCTCACTCCCTGGGCGACCTGAAGGTTGTTAAATTAATTACGGCGTAATTTAATTGATTGATTGGATTGAATTGTGGGGGGTTGACAAGGCTGTCACGGAGCATCATCAGTAACGAGTCTTTCTACCGACAGCAGATCTATCATCTGTCCAGGACCACTGTAAATTGGGTTGTGCTGGGCTGGGATATGTTGATCGGAAGGGAACCCAGTGACAGGTGCTGATCGTCGAAGAACCTGGTCCAGACCACACAATTCTACAAAGATCAGCAGAGCGACCCGACAACTGCAATATTGTTTTATTTTCCACAAAGCAGCGTTGAGGGCAAACCTATGCGACAGAATGGATCCGAATGCCAGCGTTGAAAAGGGGGGCCAATGGCAGAAAGAGACCGGCCAAACTTTGTTTACACACTACTTTCGCTGGGTAGTATTCGGCTAATGGCTCGATAGTCTCTTGAGAGGGAGGAGGGGTACCACTAGTAGTAGTACGTTGTGCTTGGCCCTAAGGATTCCACTGGTACCGATGCGCGCAACCGCCAGCATCCAAGTCATGCCATTCGGCGCTAGTGGATATCGTCGACTTCCAAGGCATGGCAACTGTCTGCCTGCTAGGTCAATCCGCTAATTGTCCCTGAATCCCTCTCCACCTGTCAAACGCTCCTACAGTCCCCTCGCGCCAGCCCCATGCGATACAATAATGTTGCGCCAGCAATCTCCATTCTTCCATCTCGTCCAGCATCTCAAGTCCGGACACCCTCTCCTTTTCCTCTTCACTCACCCATCGTTCCCAGATGAAATCCACGTCTGCCGCGGCTTGGCCCCCGCTGAAGCCTTGATCTCGCAACCGTTTTCGCTGCGCCGCTAGTGATGCGTACTGATGGAGCGTTTGCAAGTGGATCCCGCGCGTCGCAAGGTTGGACACCATTGTTCGTCCGAAAGCATCATCCGGACGAATGGGCTCGTAGAGAATCAGGCCGAGTGGCGTTACTGACTCGGTCCTCCCGGTATCACCAGAGGTATCAGCATTTGACTTACCACCCGCACCAGGAAACAAAGTTCCGTAAAGTAACCTACAACATCTGCTGCTTCGCTCGGAGAGAGATACACCAGGCAGCACTCCGAAATCAAAAGTGTAGGTAGCGTCGTGTCCACATCCCGCAGGTATGCCCTCGAGTCAGCCTGCGCCGCATCGGCGGAGACAGGCATGCGTTTCAGACAGCGCAGGTCCAATGGGTGGAGATGATACACATCTGTGTGCAGCGCATCCCCAGCGTCGGAAATTGTGGTGTCTTCCGGTCGCCCAATGCCCAGTGCCTGTTGGAGGAGAGGCGTTGAACGAATAAATTTAATCTTGGCGGCTGTGTTGACGGCGAAATCAACCTCGTGATAGATCAGATTCGGGCGTGACTGCGATGCGAAGAGTCGAAAGGCACGTGTATCTGTACCGGCACCAAGTGATATAATCTGTTTCTTCGTCTGGGGCTCCTGAGAGAGGAATTGGGTGACAAGGTGGTCGATCGCGGTGGTTCGGACGTAAGTACCTGCAGGCGGTTAAAATGAAATGAATACCGACAGTCGTTAAACGGCATACTGAGGATCGGGTACCTCTGTTGATAATTGGCAACCTTCTTGTCTCGAAACCCGGACCAAGTACGGCTTTTGCAAAAGGATCGTGCAAATAACCCAATGCCACCGCACTCAGCCGGGAGACACTGGCGTCATTGTCAGTACCTTGAACCACACGGTCTTTACTCGTTGTCCCGCGCGGTCCATGTCCTCCACCAGAAAGGTTGCCATCGGCACATCCGCGTCCTCTGAAACGGCCTCTCCCACCACCTCGACGAAGGGTATTAAGGTTGGGGATCTGGGAAGCTGACATGTCGGGGAAACAAGTTCTTTGTGAGGGGAAGTGCGGCGGGCGGTGGGGTTGGGGGATTTAAACTCTTCATTAATTTCGATTTATGCCCGTTTATGAAACCCTTCATGTCAGCAATACATAATCTGGACTATGACGTGATGCTGAGAATCCATAATTCTCAATGCTATTTATCCCTACCTGTTGACTACTATCCTTCTAATAGTATCCAAACCTGATCTGCCAAGACCGAGCACTACTAGGAGGTTTGATGTTGATAGTTGAGCAGAGAAGATGGAATCCAGAAGAGTACTTCTTGGCAATTTGAACTTTTCTATAAGCTGATAGAGATATATCATACATGCCCATAAGGCCATACGTACCATGCAAAGTGGCCCCTCTTCTCCATAACAAAGGGCAAGAAGGCCTTGTTCAGACTTCAATACCCAAGAGACTAACTACTATACATCGATATGTCATCATACATAAACAAAGTTGTTCCGGCACAGCGGACAAGTGCTCTGGTTACTGCTCTTGAACCACCGGAACAGACAGACAGAGTGGAATGTGTTCTTGCAGGTGGCACATCTCTTGTTCGGAGTCTGCATGTCCGTCGATATGACGGAGTAACAGATCGCGCACTCGCTCTGCCCCTTCAAGGCACCTTGGACGTTCTTCCGGAAGGCCAGCAGTCCGTCCACTATGTTGCCGTTCGCAAACATGATCACACCTTGAATGGTAAGAAGCCAGCTCTTCCATTTTCTCTCGTCGACCAACACTCGACTCCGACCAACCACCAAAGCGGGTTGTAGCGGATAGGCTGGCGGAAGGGATATAGACAAAGCAACCGGGGGTGACTCTTCATCCACTGGAATGCTAGCAATAATCTCAGAAGTCTTCGGCGAGATTTTCACGGCCAATGCCCGCTCTTCATTCGGGTCTTGTGTTGCCATCCATTCGGTAATCCCTTGCAGGGCATCCTCAACGATCAGTGGTGAAATCTATGCTCAATTAGATACATTCGCCTTAACATGTGTTATTCTGCGCACTCACGTATTTTTCTGTCCAGGCTTCCACTGGTCCTTTGGTGCGCTTCTTGGTGTCAATCCACCAGCTCTTGGTCATGTTTGCCAGGTACCTCAAGCACAAGAAGTACAGGTGAACAAGGAGCCATTGGATTTCCTTCTCCTGAGATTCCGACTGGTCTAACTCAAAAGAGCGAATAACGAACTTAGACGCGTCCACCATTTTCTGGTGAGACTGCTGGAGGAAGTCGAATGTGAATTCCAGTAGTGGAATCAACACATCATTCTCCTTGATGCTTGATACGTAGTTCTCTTGCACGGCAAAGGACTGTTTTTGTCATTAGTCACGGCATAATTCCAATAAGCACCGGCGGATATACATACTGCATTGACGAAATGATCGAAAACTATCTTCCAGCTTAAAAGATATGATCGTATCTCCGACCAGACCTTGTCATCACCATATGATAAGGATATCGAATCCATAGTGGGTGCTTCGAGCAATAGAGACAGGAGCTGATCAGGTAATTTGACGGTCGTCTTCGACAATGCCACATCAAAAGAAATCTGCTCTTGAACACTTGGAATATACCGGTGTAGAACAGTATAGGCGGCGCGTTGCACAGCCTGACTCTGCGCAGTCAGAAGTGGGAAGATCCTGCTCACGTCTTCAAGGCTCTCAACTGATATATTGTTGATCAGTCGACACAGGAGATCTACCGTGACATCGCGAGGTTGGTAGAACGTAATAGAAGAGTCTGTTTCGTTAGCTTAATATGTCCATCCATCATCGAGCAGATACTAACCAAATTCCTTGATCGTTGCTGTCAAGTCATTGAACAACGCGGCCTTTCGATCTGACCAAGCGTCTTTCACATCGTCGTTGCTGTCTTCGTTGCCTACAATGGATTTCAGGCGAGCAAAAAGTCTGAAGGATGCTAGCAGAACTGGCAAAGCTTCATCGCTGCCACTGGCTTCCCTCCAGGTTGTGCTGAGAGCATCCATGCAATCCTCCCAGTGCGAGCCATACATCTCATGAATGCAAGGTAACACAAACGACAAGGTTTGCAATACCTCGGATTTGACACTAAGGGAGATATTCTCCGACTGCAGACATTGTACGAGGTGCTTGACGAGAAAGACGACGCGCTGGGTCGGGATTGACTCAATCACTTCTTCCGATCCTGCTACGAGAAGGTTGAGCAGTGATAGCTTTCGAAGGCCTATACGCAATATTAGCATGTACAAATAACGAAATTTCTTTCTCACTAACCATCTTTTCGCTCATCATGAGGTTTCAATCCTGTGGATTCTGCTACAAGTTCATTGCATAGCCGTGTCCCGGCAGGGTTTGAGAGGATGGAGTGTCGCAAGATAGCCACCCAAGACGCCGAGCGGATTGCATTTGCTGTTCGCACATCCTTGCAAAGCTTGGCAATGTCTTCCGATGACTTGGAGTTTGCCGAGTCCTGACCCTCCATAATCTTTACAAAAGCCTCGCCAACTCGATAGTCAACGGCAGAGGTACCAGTTAAGCTTTCGAGTTTGCTTTCCCAAAACGCAGAAATTGATGGTGCAACGGATTCTTCCAAATTTGCCCATCTATTGATCAAACTGCGGCCATCATTGACAATTTCCATGTACTCTTCTCGTTGCTCAGGTAGCAGTACTCCAGTTATGCCATTGCAATTGTCGATGCTCAAATCATCGTCAATCAACTGCACAGCCAGAGGCAAGTAGTAGAACAGAGTTTGAAGCTCTTCTGCACCAAGCTGACTAGTGATATCAGAGGATGACAGAGTTCTAATGGTGAAATAGGCGAGTCGGAGAGCAGACGAACAATGGCTGGAGTCGCGTGGGACCGTCTCATAGCGCCTTCTAGACTCGTCCGATATATGGCGGTCGATGATATGAACTGTCCCTTTAAGCGGACTTGTAATAGCAGTTGATAGCCGGGGAGGGAGTGCAAGGAAGGGATCGAGTGCATCTTCCCAATTCTGGCGAGAAGGTAGGATATCCTTAACCACTTTCTTGAGGTCCTCGGGCTTGGTGTTATGCAGAAATTCTTCTGCAACATTCAATAAAGACCCAATCCTGTTTATATTAGCCAGTCTATCCTTTTCACTTGTAGGCAAGACACTCACGAGAGAGATTCCTCGTTTACGTTATTGAAATTGTGCTGCAGAATTTCAAAAGTTGACCTAGCACTTGTTTCACTGACTGCTGATTCCTTCACCCTTCTGGTTAATGACTCCGCAAGACCGGCCACTTCTTCTGATTGCGACTCAGCGAGGAACAGCAACTTCCCTGTTAATTTCGAACCATGGGGACCACTTTGGAATTCTCTTAGTGCAGTTGGGACGGTATTTGCAATTTGAGAAACTCCGTATAAGGTATCGAACACTTTGCTTTCATCTGATAATGCATCGATGATTGACAAGAATATCGACTCTGTGAGCTCGCCATGAGATGTTTGGTTTTGGAGCACCGCAGCCACAATCGACCAGTGTAGAGAGCTACCTCTACAGGCCCTGTCTAAAGCACGCGCGATCAGAGAACCAAGACCACTCTTATCATCTACTTCCTTGAAATCGAGTGTATAGAGGAGTTTCTGAACAGCATGCGCATTTGACGACTCGGGTTCAGACTGTGCTACCCTTTCAACGACTTTCTCGAAACTTGGGCCAAATCCATTCCATGAACGACAAGACAAGATGATAGAGATTAAACGATCGGCGGATGGCGAAGACAGAAGTTCTGGTGCATCCTCCTGGACAAACCTCAATAACTCCTGGGAGTGTTGTGCAATCTGTGCAACTTTCTGAACTATTCCTTCAACAACTGCAGCTGCTCCATACGGCTTGCCGTTTCGGGTTCGTAGGACCTCCAAGCAGTGCCTAAGCAGCCCCAGGTTTGTGTCTTCGAAGGCTTTCAGCAGCTTGGATTCGCGGTCTGTATCTGCTACACGTGAAAGCACCGAAGCCTCTAAAGCAAGAAATCGTTCGGCCTGAGCACATACTGCGTCTTGTGACGACCTGAAGTCCTTCGACTGCTCTGGAGATGAAAGCTTTACAGCTTCAAGCAGGTTGTCCGACAGCTCAGTCCACAATTTATGCAATTCTCCTTCGTGGCTATGCGTGGCTAAAACATCAACATAATCAGCGCAGAGAGCTTCGGCTGACTGAGCAGGAAGTTCCCACTCAGAACGGTCTTGCTCAGGCTTGACATATTGGACTAAAAGTGGAGATAGTCGTTCATGTAGAAAAGGTTCTTGGTCAATTTGGGGGAGCTTATTTGTGAGCCACATTCCAGTGTCAATATAAGCTTTCCAACCAACTGCGCGGTTCTGCCGAGGTTCATCTCTGGAGTTCAGTCCGTCTTGGAAGGATTGAGTCAATTTCGTGGCGCTTGACGATTCAACACTGTCTTCATTTGTGGATTTCGCATCAACTTTTGCTAAAGTCTGCGATGGGATAACCTGCAATAACTCGTATAGATTTTGCCAGAAGGAGGCTAGACCACCCTCTGAACCTTTCTGGATATACTGAATGAGTCTTTTAGAGGAAGAAGACTTGCCCGTATAGTCGTCAGTCCATAACTGAGGCCTTACAGCTGTCACCTGCAGCAGCAATTCGGACAGGTCCGGGGAAGATCCTAATTGAGATATATGCAAGGATTTGCCGATGATAGCGGCACTGATGAGCTTCCAGTCAAGCTGCTCTGGGTCTTTAGAGACAGCAGATCGAAGAAGGACATAGACTGATCTGCGAACAAAAGGATCGTCATGATAGCATAAGGACCATAACGATTTACTACCCAGAAGGTTTTCAATCGTAGCTATATCCTTCTCAAGAACTTCGCGCGTCGAATTTCCTGCATTGACACCCAGTCAGAACACTTACAGGGGATCATAGGGTGTATAGAAGCGCACCTATAATTCGATTAAATAGTAAAACCGCAGTTCCTACAACGCGAGCATACTTCGCTTCTGCATCATCAGACTTAACAGTCCTCTCGTCGCTAAGAGTCTGTGGAGTCTGCTGAAGGATGACATCATCTACAAAATCAAGAATAGAACTCTGGTAGATCTTCCACACGCCGTTTCTCTTCTCTTCAGTTGAGAAAACCCGTGTGAAGGACTCAAATGCGGACCGATGAACCATTCGATCATTGTCATAGAGTCCTGCAAGCCATGCCCCAATTACTTTCGGTAAGAAACGGGCAATCCGCTTGCCCACTAGAGAAGCAATAGATCCTTGTGTGGAATGAGCCGTTTGCCTCACTCTACGAGACAGATCAATCGATGCTCTGGGATAAATTTTAATCTGCCAAGGAACAAAATCTAATCAACATATTACCCCAATCCGCATGGTGTAGGTGCAGACATACCCAGGCTTCCAGGAACCCGTCATCCAGAGTCCCACTGCGACTTTCTACAGTAGAAACATAATCCCTCAAATCATCCAGTGCTTTGGTCCTCGTTACTTCATCTTTCTTCAGGAAGTTCTTGAAAGCAATTGCCAATTGTGCTTCAAATATCTGCGAAAGGTCCGGCGGCTCAGCCACATAAGTAAGAGACGACGGTTCCCTCCCAGAACCAGAGAAAGAGCTGGAGAATCCACCAAAGGAACCAAAGGTGCTAGCAGCGCGGCTGCTTGATGCCTGAGACTTGAACTTTTTACTCATAATAAATGTGGGGTAAGTGGGATGTGAATCAGATCAAAGGAGTGAACAAAAAGGGGAAAGGGGGGAGGGAAAAATGGAAAGAAGGGGAAGAATAAGAGTGCAGGTCCCTTGTCACTCAGATACAAAGAATCAACAACTTCCCAGCCCGAATTATTGCTTTTACAGTGAGAGATTGTCTCAATATCAATTACTTCAAAGCGGGCTTGATAATCGGCGTCCATATCGGGACGGGTCACGTGGCCCTGTGTCATCATGTCCCGATAAGGAAAAGTTCGTCGCGAAGTCTGGCCGCGGCCTTAACTCCGTCTTAAGTTGTAAGCTTGTCCGAGAGCTTCCTTCTGTGTAGCCCAACTTTGGAGCACGTCGCTCGATCGTCACAATGAAATTTTTCATTGAGTAAGTGCGCCGTATTGAAGCTCTTTCCAGTCAAATTTAACCTTCCAACTTCTATCGATAGTGACCTTCCGGTCCTTTTCCCGTATCCTCGTATATACCCCGAACAATATGCCTACATGTGCGACCTCAAAAAGACCCTCGATGCCGGGGGTCACTGTGTCCTGGAAATGCCCTCGGGCACCGGGAAAACAGTTTCTTTGTTATCCTTGATTGTCGCATATCAGATGCATTATCCAGAGCATAGAAAGCTTATCTACTGCTCTCGAACCATGTCGGAAATCGAGAAAGCTTTGGCAGAGTTAAAGGCGCTAATGAAATTTCGCACTCAACAACTTGGGTACACAGAGGACTTTCGTGCTTTGGGGCTTACTAGTCGAAAGAACTTGTGTCTGCATCCGTCTGTCAAAAGGGAGAAAAGTGGCACTATCGTTGATGCCAGGTGCAGGAGCTTAACGGCCGGCTTTGTCAAGGAAAAAAAGGAGAGAGGAGAAGACGTTGAGCTCTGTGTCTACCACGAGGTATGCAAATACTGGCTAATAATCGACAAGCTGATTTATGACTTGGTATAGAACCTTGACCTCCTCGAACCGCACAACCTTGTACCTCCAGGCGTTTTCACCCTCGACGGACTACTCAAATACGGCGAAGACCATAAACAATGTCCCTATTTCTCAGCAAGGCGGATGATGCCGTTCTGCAACGTCATAATATACTCCTATCACTATCTTCTCGATCCCAAAATTGCAGAGCGAGTATCTCGGGAATTCTCGAAAGACTGTATAGTGTCTTCGACGAGGCACATAACATCGACAACGTCTGTATCGAATCACTTAGTATCGATATAACGGAGGATTCGCTGCGGAAAGCCACCAGGGGAGCAAATAACTTGGAACGGAAGATTAATGAGATGAAGAGCTCGGACGCGGAGAAACTACAAAGTGAATATTCCAAGCTCGTCGAGGGTCTCCGTGAAGCAGAGCAAGCCAGGGAAGAGGATCAGTTTATTTCAAATCCTGTCCTTCCTGACGATCTGCTCAAGGAAGCCGTACCAGGCAATATACGCCGAGCGGAGCACTTTATCTCCTTCCTGAAAAGATTCATCGAATACCTTAAGACTCGAATGAAAGTCACTCATACCATCTCCGAGACACCTCCTTCGTTCTTAACTCATGTTAAAGACTTGACCTATATTGAACGAAAACCTTTGCGATTCTGCGCCGAACGGCTAACGTCACTGGTGCGGACGCTGGAGCTGATCAACATAGAAGACTATCAACCGCTGCAGGAAGTGGCAACATTTGCGACTTTAGTCTCAACATATGACAAAGGATTTCTCTTAATTCTAGAGCCTTTTGAATCGGAGGCAGCGACAGTCCCGAACCCTGTGTTGCATTTTACCTGCTTAGACGCCGCTATTGCTATCAAGCCAGTGTTCGAACGATTCAGCTCCGTCATTATCACTTCTGGAACTCTATCACCTCTTGAAATGTATCCCAAGATGCTCGGGTTCACCACTGTCATGCAGGAGTCATACAGTATGACACTAGCACGACGTTCTTTCCTACCCATGGTCGTTACTCGTGGTTCAGATCAAGCACAAATCTCCTCCTCATTCCAGATACGTAATGACCCGGGTGTGGTGCGTAATTACGGGAACATTGTCCTAGAATTCTCGCGAATAACGCCAGATGGTATCGTCGTTTTCTTCCCTTCATACTTGTACATGGAGTCCATTATCAGTATGTGGCAGGGCATGGGCATCTTGGATTCTATATGGAACTACAAGTTGATTCTTGTCGAGACACCGGATGCGCAGGAGTCATCATTGGCGCTGGAGACATATCGAACAGCATGTTGCAATGGACGGGGAGCCATCTTAATGTGCGTCGCCCGAGGAAAGGTCTCCGAAGGTATTGATTTTGACCATCACTATGGTCGTGCCGTGATATGCATTGGTGTGCCGTTCCAGTACACCGAATCGAGGATATTAAAAGCGCGCCTTGAATTTCTTCGAGAAAATTACCGTATTCGAGAGAACGACTTCTTATCTTTCGACGCAATGAGACATGCTGCACAGTGTCTCGGTCGGGTCCTTCGTGGCAAGGATGACTATGGAGTCATGGTTCTTGCTGATAAGCGATTCCAGAAGAAACGGACTCAACTCCCCAAGTGGATCAGTCAGGCCATGCTTGAAAGCGAGACTAACCTCAGTACTGATATGGCCGTGGCCACCGCGAAGAACTTCTTACGCGGCATGGCTCAACCTTTCAAAGCCAAAGACCAGGACGGTATCTCGACATGGAGCTTGGCAGATTTAGAGCGACATCGAGAGAAGCAGATGCTGGAGGATCAGAGAGCACAACGAGAAGAACTGGCTCGTGGACATGGCGCAAACGGTGTTGCCAATGGTGCTGTCGTCGCTGAGGATGAATTTGATGACGACATTGACGACACTCTCATGATGCTGGATGCACAGTGAAAGCCAACCCCGGGACAGTATTGTTTGTTTCCATGTTCCGGGCATAGTCATCCACGCCAATACACCATGATGTTGATATAGCCAAATATGGCTTTGGGACCTCCAGGCCTTTCCCAGACCGCACACGAAAACCCCGTGTCCTTCAATACCCAATCCCCACGATGCAGATGTTATGGTGACGGCCTTAGGGTTGATACTAGATGTATTATACTACGTGCTATCTATCTATGAGGGAACGGGGCATACAAGATCCGGCTGGACTTTCAGGGTGGACAGTTTATATTTCCCACCGCTCTTGGTGGCCTCTGCAGTGCTTGCTCCGATTAATAGGACAAGAAATAAGCTCCTTTTCCACTTCGGTAGGGCCAAGCAAACAAGAAAAGGGCGATGTGACCTGGGCATCCCTACTTACCGATGCCAGTAATGGTGGCCTATACCCTATATTTAGAAAGCTTGATGACAATTTTAGAACAAGGTTCTACCATATTGGTAAGATGAGTACGTGTTTAGAATGTTGCTTTTACATCGGAGATCATCGTATGCACTAGCTCTACCTAGTTAGGAAGGCGGGCTCAGAAGGCGGTCTGTGGGGGTTGCCCAACTCCAAGTAGTCAAATGGGGTGTGCATCCAACCACGACTGACGCTAGTTCTGCTCTGCGCCAGGACAAAATCTACAAGGAAGACCCGGAAGGGGCTGTAGATGTACCTGACTTTGCCTGGGACGACACTACTGACTGGACTTCCGGGCAACTTGAAGCATTATGGGAAGACGTGATTGATATCTATAGAGAGGCGGCGGAGTGCGATGAGCACGGCCAAGATGAGAACGCTTGGGGCACTGGGGTGATCCTACAGGTCCTAAGAAGGGGTCTTAAACGACACCCTACGCTCCAGGTCAAACCTGTGTCAGTCTCAAGGTTTCTCCTAAAACCTCTAGTATATCTATTGATTTTCAGCTCCAGACAAACCCAGGCAATCGACCATAGCCTCCTTCCACGTACACCGCATCAGGTCCTGGTAAATAAAAAGATTGACTTCACGATTGCGTTTGCCCTTCGGGACCGACGTGTGAAGGCGGTCTATGATGCCTTCATCAGCGCTTCACCAGACCAGACGGTTAGTCAAACAACAGACCCATTCACGAAGCGCGTTGCTCTCTTCTCTGGAACTGAAGTGAAACAATCCGATGGTAGCAGCATGGAGGCACTCGTGCAACTCTCCATTTGGCTTGCTGCCGGGCTGGAGAAACTATTGCAGCTACGTAATCTTCAAGGGCAGGAGTTTGATCTCTTGCCAACCGTAGGATGGACGGTTATTGGGCATGAGTGGAACTTATACGTTGCCTTTAGGGGATGTTTTGAGGGACAGGACAGAATTGTAAGCAGGGTTTCTTCAGAGGCTGACATTATACTAAGCATCAATCGACCAGTATATCGACGGACCCACAGAGGTTCTAAGCGCCACTACACGGACGTATTACGGGATATTCAAGTTGATAGACCTTGTGCACAGAGTTTCCGTGTATGCTGAAGAGGTGTATTGGCCGTGGCTGAGCGCTAAGATACTCATGCCCCTCAACACAGCAGGACATTGAATATTGTAGGTCGTTCTACCTATGATACTCGTGGTTCTATGGCGGTTGTTCCGTCTTTGCGCAATATTCGGGGCCATTCTGTAAGCCCTACCCAAACCTAAGTGGGAAAAAGAGACTGGTATCGTTTCTTGCCCTATTGAACTAGAGCACTGGGGAGAACCCTAGGAGCGGTGGGGAGTAAAGCCGCCTATCCAGAAAAGTCAACCGGATTGTATGTCCTATTACCTCATTTCAGATAGAGGGACTTATTAAAGGGACCAGGGCCACCCTGACTACTTAACCAACCGAAGACCTCTCTATTCCGGCGGGTGGTCAGTGCAATGGCAGAATTATATAGATTATACCCCCTTTCAATTTCCATAGCCAAGGATACTTTTCATATTTACGAAAAAGCTCCCTGAACGTTCCGCCGAGCTGCCCAAACAACAGGGGGGATTCAAGTAGGCCGGATTCAGGTGCTGAACGATATCTGAAAAAATAAAAGCATTCTCTATTCATGTATTCTATCATGAAAGGTTGCTCTAGAAGAAAATGAAAGACTTTTCTTGATTTCGCTGAGAGAAACTCCAGAAGTCATAGAACACATCAACAAGGAAAATGCATAATAGATACACGTTTGAGTCTCCTCATATACAATAAACCACAATATAAGATGCCATACGTCACACATACCTACCCATTATGCCACTGGGGCAAGGACATCAAAAGCACCGGTACCAACAGTTCCAACACGGCCAACAACAATTCTACTACTCGGGGACTTGAGGTTATCATAGTCTCTCTCCTGGACAGCATCCCGGAGGAATCCAACGGTGGTTTCGAAACTCATCTTGGCAAGAGGAGAGGAGGCATCCTTGACAAGACCGTTGCGGTTGAAGGGACGGAAGCCACCGGACTGGGTCATCACATCACCAATCAGGTTCAGATGACGGTTGTCCACGGAGATACTGTGACCCTCGAAAACTTCCGTCATTTCACGAACGATGGACGCACGAGCAGCCTCGACACCATACAGGTTAAGCATATGGTGAATGGAGTTCGTGTAGAGGGAATGGGGCTGGATGATGTCTTGGTAATCCCGCATGGCGAGGAGGTTGACACCGTCCGTGATGACATGGGCAGGTTCGCCCTTGATAGGGTCCGCCTCCACATATGTACAGTTGCCAAGACCTGGGATAGACTGGATGACAGCACTGCGAGCGGCCGCCTCAACCAGAGGTAGCACGAGAAGTTTAGGAGTAGAAATGTCATACTGCAGCTGAATAGTGCACGAAGAGCCCTGGCTGGGGTTGAACTTGAATTGGGTAATCTCGCCGAATTTACCCTTGATGTCCTCCTCGCGCAACTTGGTGTCTTTGGCTTCATCATCCGATTCGTCATCAGAGGCATCATCCATGTCAACATCCCTCGTCTGCTTCTCGCCACTATCCTCAATATCGTCATCGTCGTCAGCATCTTGATCCTGAACCATTTTCTCCTCTTCGCCCTCAGGGCCTTCGTAGGAGACTTGGTTTGAACGATTCTTAGAACCACTGGCGCGCTTAGCGTCGTCCTGATCCTCCTCGTCATCATCGTCAGCGGGCGCGTCGTCGTCGTCAGCACCCCGAGGAGCTTCTTGGACGGTACCAACAGAGACACCAATCTCCGGCTGGGCAGTTGAGTAGCTCGACAGTTTCTTTTCATCCTCTCGTCTCTTGAGTTCGGCCCTGGTAAGCTTCACGAGCTTGGGGATGAACTTGTTCTGCAGAGCAATCTGAACATCTTTTGTCTTGATTGCATACTCTGCGGTGTATTCCTCGGGAGGGAAGAATGAGACTTCGATATCATAGACCTTAGCCTTTGTGCTGCCAGAAGTGATTCTCTCCCTGATTTCAACCTTATCGACAACCTCTGCGATGCTGAGCTTGCTAATAGCCTTGGCGAACCTCTCGGAGTGCTCTTTGGACAGTTCTTCGTTCAAAATCAATGTCATCGTGGGAGTCATAATGTGAGCACTAGCCGTCATCACGATTTCACGCAGACGGGGAATACCCAGCGTCACGTTCTTCGCAGAGTGACCAGCCAAGTGGAAAGTGTTCAAGGTCATCTGAGTTGATGGTTCACCGATAGACTGACCGGCCACAATACCAACGGCTTCACCAGGATCGACCACCGACTTCAAGTACTTCATATTCATCATGTTACCAAATGATTTCTTGCTAAGGATACCTTCAATGCTCTTCTTCTTGTCCTTCAGAAGCTTGTCCGGATTGGCGTCCTCGTACTGTAAAGTATTAGTATATACTGGACAGAAAAATGGATGTTGGTTAATATAAGCATAAGCTTCATCTTACCTTCTTAACAGCTTGAGCAAACAGCTCGGATGTACTACCCAGGTTACCTCCGGGGTGGTAACGAGACAACACAGGGTCCATAGCATCCACCTTTCCGGTCTTGCGCACCTTCTTCATAGCATCCTTATGCCATTCACCTACCTCCTCTTTCTCCAGGGTGTGGAAATCGCTCGAATTGACTTGGGAGATAATGGACTTATAGTTAGATGCCAAGAAATCGAAGTCTTTAAGGTGAACCTGTTTCGTGATGTCCAGACCGTCTTCTCCGTACAGGAATTGAACGATGGAACCGTCGGTGGCTTCACGGACTGAAGTGTCATACTCGGCCCTTAAGCCTTCCATGCCCTTGATCAAACAACGTTGCAGATAACCCGAGCGAGAAGTCTTAACAGCAGTATCAATAAGACCTTCACGACCAGCCATGGCGTGGAAGTAATACTCTTGAGGCTTGATACCGGTCAAGAAACGACCACTGACATAACCGCCAGCCATAGGATTCGTATCGAAGGCTCTGAACGACGGTAACGTCTTACCGCTGATCATTACAGGCACACGTCGACCTTCCAAAACTTGCTGACCCAGGTTACAAGAAATCAGGTTGGCATTGACACTTGAACCCTTGGCTCCGGAAATTGTCATCGACTGCATTTGGTTCCACGGGAAAGGCTTGACCAGACCTCCGGGAAGACAGGCCTTGGTGATCTCAGTGGACAAGTTCGCTGTGCGAGCGTTGGAGACGCTATCAAGGCCACTTTGTTTCTCATCATCACGGAGAACATCTTCCAGACGGCGTCGCAATTCGGCGTCCTCATCAGCAGCCTTCGTTTGGTCAAGGGTTACATACTTCAGTGCAACCTGACGACCAATTTCAGAGGCCTTGCTAAGTTTTTCTTTACGGATACGGTCACCCTCCTTAGTTAAGCGAAGATCGTCGATGCCGCAGGTAAATGCACGCATGTTCAGGAATCTCGTTAGAAGCCTACCAAGGATACCGATGAGCCTTCCAGCAATGGTATGTCCATAAATTTCGTGGATAGAATCGATGAGACCACCAGCCGTAGGACCGATCTGCTTCTTATCGAGAATACCACAGAGCAACTCTCCATCCTTGAATAGAACAGTGCCTTCTTCGTTACCTTCGCCCCATCTATCTCCTGGTGTCGAGGATTTGCTCTTCATATTGAGACCGGCTCTGTTTGGAGGCATGATGTTTTTGAGGATAGTTGTAATGATCTGCTTTCCGGTCCAGAGACGCTTTGGTTTGATCATTGTCGGGGCGACAACCTGAATACGCTCTGTGATTGTGTGGGAATTCTCGGGTCTCAAACAACTGTAGAGCAGCTCATGGTAGTCCTCCTCGTCGAAGAAGCTATCACGGCAGGTGAACCACGTCGACATCGAGATGTGATCTTGAATCAAACCTCTCAAAGGTTTACCAGAAGTGGCAACAAGGTACTGGTGGTCTGCATCTGCAAGCATCATGGCTTCAGCACGGGCAAGCTCGTTTTGGGGGAAATGCATGTTCATCTCGTCTCCATCGAAATCAGCGTTGTAGGTATTACAGTTAGCGTAGTGCATGCGAATGACACGTTCGTTAGCGAGTACACGAGCCTTATGACCCATGATAGACGGCTTGTGAAGCGTAGGCTGACGGTTCATCAAGACAACATCTCCGGTGGTAAGATGACGGTACACCTTCTTGTTGCGCGACCCCTTCATACGCCAGTTCGATGGTGCGAGCAGCTGGTTGGCCAAGGCTGTCCGCTCATCGAGACTCTTGAACTTGAGGTTAGTGACTTGTCCAAACTCATTTTCGATCGCAGCGGCACCTGGGTACTTGTCTGGACCGTTGATGACAGCTTGCTTCATTTCCCAGAAGTTGTGGTTGGTCACAGGCTCCGGATACGTCAGTTTCTTTGCAAACACAAGTGGAACACCAATTTCGTTGGTTTCGATGTTGGGGTCGGGAGAAATGACACTACGGGCAGCGAAGTTCACACGTTTACCCATCATGTTCTTTCTGAACAAACCCTCCTTCTTTTCCAGGATCTGCTTGATGCCATTGGGGGCGCTAGCCGCCGCGGGGCCGGACAATCCACTCCTATCACGGTCAATCAGACCGTTCACAGTATCCTGAAGTTGTACAATGGCGTGTAGCAGATCCCTGTAGTCGCGCACACGCATGGCAGAGTCGGACCCTCCATTCTGTCGTTCTTTGCTGATTTGATTGATAATGTCACAGTTCTTCAAGATCTGCGTAAACACCGTGTTTTGCTGGGCTTCAACAACAGCACCGGCCCCCTGGGCAGCGACAGGTCGATATTTGTTCGGTGGCACCAAGAGGTTTTTGATGAAGAACATGCCTGCATCAACACGAGACTCGTTCTTTGACATCGGACGTGATGTATAGACAAGGTTCAGAATCTCCTCTTCTTTAACGAAAAGCAAAGTAATTGCGGCGTGGACTTCTGGCGAGGGCATGAATTGGCCGCTATCACCAGTCTTCTTGTTGTCCACCTGTGCCAGGATGGCATTACCACGAGCAACTTCTTCCTCCGCTCCGTGAGATTCCGATGTAGTACTGGCGTTGTCGTTTGCAAGCGCCTCCTTCTCTTTACTATTGAATTTCTTGGTTTCCTGAAGAATTATCAAGGAGTTTGACGCATTGTACCCAGCCTGTTGCATAGCGAGTTTAGCCTTTTCGGGCAAAGCTTTCCGGAAAATCTTCGAATACCGATCTCTTCGATAGCCTGGCGAGATTCTTTCTTCGGAGTTAATGCCCATGTGCTGGCAGCAAAACAGGGGAAGTAATCAGAACTCACCCTGAGCAATTGGCACACTTCTTGATGGCGACAATATCCTTAAAGAAATCCCTGACAACAGCCCGCCTTTGTTCCGCAGCAATCGGGTTCTTGGCTCCAGCCATCAAGCCCTTCAGCTTACCCGCCGCCTGTGCCTCGCGAATGGATTTCTTGACAAACACATTTCTGCGCTTCACGAGGTCATCTTCGTCTTCGTCTCCATCGTCATCGGATTCGTCTCCATCCTTCGCCGATTTCTTTGATCCCTTCTTGAGCTCCATTGACTCCAGGACAGCTACTTCGTCGACCAGGCCATACTGCAATAGTCGCAATTTGCAGGTGTAGGCATTAACTTGTGTCCGAGACATCTGAAGACGGTGGCAGTATACACATTGCGCCCTAAGAAGACGGTACATCTGATCAAAGTGCGTGACATTGTACACATGGACCGGTAGCTCGATGTGCCCAGGATGGCCAGTACAAGACCATGAGCTCATGCGACAAGTTGTGCAGCTAGGTCCGGTCAGTCGAAGAGCCAAAAAGAAGGCTGAATCAAAAACACAAGACGGCAGACGACAACAATGTGCTGAGAAAGAGACTTACACATGGTCACCCCATGCTCCCATAGCCGGGTCATACAGACCACCAGGAACAGGGTTGTTGAAGGAATCCAAAGTCGGAGTATTATGGATTCGCTTCACCGAGGTGGCTTTGATATCCTCGTCATTGTAAACGGAAAAGTCAATCCCCGAAATAGAGGAAGCCACGGGACGTGCGAAGTTCGCCATGATTCCCTGCAGCTCCGTGAGCGACAGAAGAAGCTGGCTATGCGACTAATCTGTTGGTCTGGAATGAGCAAAAGCGGGTTCGTTCGGTCTTGTCGCTGCGAAAAGAAAAAGTTCACCCAACTTTTTTTCTGCCGTGCGATACCGCTCAGACCCACGTTTGGGATCGCCCCGTGATTTATGCCCGTGTCACTTCTAAGTTATCCGCGCTCTTTTCTCACTTTAGTTCTCGGATCGCCGATACTCGTTTGCCAACCTTCCATACGCCAACTCTGAGTCGCGCTCGGTGCCAGTGGGTGAGTGCAGCATTCATTTTCTGCCTCGAGTAATGGCGGACCTATCAGGCAACATGCTGAAGCGACCTCACCCCGAGGACGAAGACAATAACACGCAGAAAAGATCACGTTCCAGCAATGGATCCCCATTACCCGGTCAAGGGGCTCCAGCCTCTGGGAAGCCTGATATCGAGAGGATGGTAGCTGAAGCGAGAGCGAAAGCCGAAGCTGTACGCGCAAGGCTTCAAGCTGCAAGAGGAGGATCCACACCATCAGCGGCACCAAGTCCCAGCCCTACACCCCCGGCCGCTTCCCCTGCAATGTCCAGGCTAGAGCAAATGAAAGCCAGAGTCGCGGCTGCTACCGGAAGGGCCAATGTGGTAGCTCAGCAACGACCGGCCGAACCCTCGCCGACGCCTCAACCTCCCCCATTGGAAGAAGACGATGGCTCCTCAAGGGGTCGGGGTGGTCTGGATGTCGGTCTTCATCCGGCCCTGCTTTCGGACACCGTTGAGTTCCGCAGTGCCAAGGGAAGACAGTCTACGCAATCGAAAAACCGTCGAACAGAATCTCCGGCCACGAGTGGGAAGCCGGATCGAGCAGGTCTCGATCTTTCCGGTCCTTCTTTGGAAGAAATCAGGAACAATCCTTATTATGACCCTAGCCTCGGTCCCAAAGCTACGATTGCAAAGCCGCGACAGTCGCGACAACTCATTTTCAACCAGAAGGGTAAATATATACAGCAGGGCGCCGCTCTGCGTCGGCAGGCTCAATTGGAGGCGATGAAGAAACGCATTGCCGAGAGAGCGCGACAGGCTGGTATCGATGAGGACCTTGATGTCGAAAAGGCTTTTCTTGTTCCGGCTCCACCTGCAATTGAATGGTGGGATGAAGGATTGGTGGACGGGGAGGACTATTCCGGCATCGAAGACGAACAGAATCTAAAGATCGATACACCGGACACCATAGTGACTCAATACGTTCAGCACCCAGTTCTTCTCGACCCTCCACAAGATAAGCATATGGCAGAGCAGAAGCCTATGTATCTCACACCTAAGGAACAAGCTAAGATTCGTCGCCAGCGGCGAATGGCCGATTTGAAGGAACAACAAGCCAAGATCCGACTGGGACTTGAGCCAGCTCCTCCACCGAAAGTCAAAAAGTCCAACCTCATGCGAGTGCTGGGTGAACAGGCCGTCAAAGACCCTACCGCTGTTGAAGCACGTGTAACGCGAGAGATCGCAGAGCGGCGTACTAAGCATGAGGAAGCCAACGAAGAGCGTAAGCTGACAAAGGAAGAGCGGCGAGATAAGCTTGCTAGGCAACAAGAGAAAGATGCTGAAAAAGGAATTCTTATGTCGGTTTACCGCATCGACAGTCTTGCAAACGGGCGGAATCGCTTCAAAATCAGCAGGAATGCTGAACAGAACGCTCTTACTGGGGTCTGTGTCATGCACCCTAAATTCAATCTTGTGATTGTTGAGGGTGGCTCCCACTCTATCAACAACTACAGGAAGCTTATGCTGAACCGGATAGACTGGACAGAGAACGCAGGTCCGAACGCTGTGCGGGAAGGAAACCGGGAGGCTCAGGTGTCATGGCTAGCTGCTGAAGATGAGCAAACGGGTGATCTGAAAGATCTTAGCTCCAACACATGCAGTCTCTTGTGGGAAGGCCAGGTCAAGGCTCGAGCTTTCCGCAAATGGCTGGGAGCACGAGTGTGTGAAACTGATTCTCAGGCTAAGGACGTCTTGGCTCGAGCAAAACTAGAGAACTTCTGGGCTCTAGGGAAGAGCGCAAAGCAGAGCGAGTCATGGTCATGACTATGATATTTATCCTTCTTGATTTATAGATTCTAGTCGAAAGGCAGAACAGGTCTATCTCTATTAAACAAATACAACCCATGGCACGTATGTGCCAGGTCTAATAAGCAATCATTTTCACATTGCCCGCATCACTCGAATGGCATGCCTCCTCACGATGTATACATAAAGACTCGTAATCAACAAGAGAAATAATCCATGTAAACTTTTAAGCCAATCCAAGGCAAGATGCCTAACTCCTAATAATGCAAACTTATGTATCCCTATGTATCAGTTTTACCCAAACCCAGAAAAGCAAGGAAACCCTAATCATAACATGGTATCAGACACTCATGAGCGAGGTGGTCCTTGATTGTTATTGCTCAGCTGACGCAACAGGTCTAATTGCGCCTTGACCTGGTCAAAATTCATGGTTGCAGCTTGCGCCGGTTGTTGCCCAGGAGCTTGCTGTTGGCGATTCTGCTGCAATAGTTGCTGCGCCTGCTGCGAGTATTGCAAAGCGGCCAAGAACATTGGGTCGATTTGCGTGTTGGGTGGAAACTGGTAAGGGTTTTGTTGAGGATAGGCCTGCTGGAATGGCATCTGGACATTGAAGCCAGGAGGTACAGCACCTTGACCGAACTGGTGCTGTGGTTGATGTTGAGGCGGCTGTTGCTGAGGCTGTTGCTGCTGCGGGAAAGATGGGTACGCAGGGTATGGTTGTGGCATTCCATAAGCATTAGGTTGGGTTTGCTGGTACACTTGTTGACTGTAGTTGGAAGATTGAGGTTGCGCGTCCGATCCTTGCTGTTGATATGGCTGGCGGTCATAGTGCTGAGTCTCTCTCGGTCCGCCTCCACGGCCACGACCACCTCGGCCGCGATCAAAGCCCCGGCCCCGACCTCTACCACCACGGAAGCTACCTCTACCAGAAGGTGCGTCGTTCTCGACAGGTGCCTCCTGCCGACTCATCATCTCATGGAGGTTCTTCGGGCGAGCAAGAGGAGTATATCCATCTTCACCTGCGTTATCGTCGTAGTTTAGCTCAGTTTGACTGAGCTTCGAAGGACCTGGAGGTCCCTTCTTAGTCTTTGCTGGGCCATCCCTGGCCTCCTTTCTCTCCTGGCGCTTCTGCTTCAGCTTCCGCTTGTACTCGGCTTCTGCTTCATCGTCGGAAAACTCCACCTCATCCTCACCAATCTCCTCATCGTGGAAATTCGATGCATCACTACCTTTCATTCCCTTGAGAGGCTGAGTAAACACAAACGTAGAATGTTGCTCAACGTAGTAAACGGTCTTTCCTTTAGAAAGACCACGTTCCTCGACAGCCGCAGCAGTAGGGAACCGGATAGTATACAATGGTTCCTCGACTCTTCCCAGTGTCTCAGCAACCACACCAGTGATACTTCTATCTTCAAGGCAGAGTAATGAGCCCGATTCCAGTACCTGGTACTCTCCAGAAGTGTTCGCCGCGATCAGGACCGTGTTCTCGACAATTGCCTGCACATGTCCCAGTAACACGATCTTCATTTCCGGAGTCACAGTGACATCCGGGATAGGGGGCGCTTCTTCTGGAAGTTCATTTGCCGTTCTGATATGACCACCCGATTTACCCTTCCCTTCTCCTTCATCGTCGGAACCAAGTTCTGCCTGCATCAAAATCCGGGCTTGTTCTTCGGGGCTGAGAATTGGGTAGTCTTCGTCGTCCTCGTCGCTGTCGTCTGAGGAATCGCTAGAAGAATCATCGGAAGATGACTCGTAGGGGGAAGAATCGATCTCCCATTCGGGATGCTCCTCGTCCTCCTCATCCTGTTCGGCTTGATCATGTTCCATAGTATCTAGGGGAGGCACAGTTCCTGTCCCGCTTGCGTCGCCATTGGTATTGTTGTTGCCCGCTTGGCCCTGTGTTGCAGCTTCGGCCTGGTTACGTGGTTCTGAATTTTGTTCCCCCTCGACCTTGCCGGTGCTCTCCACGGGAGGCTCTTGTTTCTTAGGCTCCGTTTCTTCAATATCCATACCAGTTTGTGTATCCGTTTGCGCCCCATCCTGAGTGGCGGGGTTAGGCGACAGGCTTGGATCGCTCTGCGCTGGCTGCAGATCTTTGAGACTATCATTGACAAGGTTTAACCCTGGGATCAGTGTCGAAGGATGGGATGTCGTGACTGGTTCATTGGTTTGACCCTGAATAGCGGCTCCCGAGTGTTCGATAGGTTCTGCAGGCGTGCGCGCAACCCACGGCGTGTTGTAGAAGTCACTTCCATCGTCCGCAGGTGTTAGGGCAATGGGTGGCGTATCATTCATGCAAGTCCGTTTCACAGGAGGCTCTTCGTTCGCATCCTCTAGGGAATGCTGGGGTTGAACAGGGGGCTGTTGATCACTCATTATGTATCTCTGTAGCCTTGAGAAAGACTTGTCTCAAAGGCAAGAGAAAACAAAAATAAAGAATAATAATTTATGGTATAGTTAAAGGAATGATTGCAGGCAAAATCGAAGGCGGAAACTTTTTTTTTTCTCGAAGTGCCATAATTGCCGTTGCGGTTACCGGAGAAGCTTTCTTATCGATAACGTGTTTTGTTAAGCTTCAACCATGCCTTAACTTGGCATGTCAATTAATCTTCAACGATTGTCAGCAAAATGGCGTCTGCCAGGAAAACAATCGATGTTCCCTCGATGCCAACGGGGCAGGCACCGCGATTCAAGAAACGGTATCAAAACCAGGGTTCCTTTCCTTATCAATCAGGCTAACACTCGCGACATTCGCAGACCCCCGCCGCCGCCCTATTACCTTCCATTGAATATTACGCTCTATGTGTTTCTCGTCTCTAATGCAATTGCGGCTTTCCTTGCGCCCATCCAGGATTGCGATGAAGTCTTCAACTTTTGGGAGCCTACACATTATCTTGATCATGGATACGGGCTTCAGACGTGGGAGTACTCGCCGGTATATTCGATCCGGAGCTGGCTCTATGTCACCATTCATGCCATTGTCGGGAAAGTGGCCTCCCTTGCTCTGGTTACGAAAAGCTCTCAGTTCTATGCGATCCGCTTTTTTCTGGCTCTCGTTTGTGCCGCCTGTCAGACCCGGCTATATGCGGCAATCTGTCGAACACTAAGCCCCAAAATTGGCCTGTTCTTTCTTATGATCGTTGCCTTCAGCCCGGGCATGTTCCACGCCTCCGCAGCATTCCTCCCCTCTAGCTTTACTATGTACATGTCCATGCTAGGTCTCACAGCCTTCCTGGATTGGCGACGTCAGAAGATCGCGCAAGGAATTATGTGGTTTGGCCTCGGTGCGATTGTCGGGTGGCCTTTTGCCGGTGCTTTGATCGTTCCACTTCTGCTCGCAGAGGTTCTTGTCGGCTTTATCTCGGGGTCCCTGGGGACTGTTGTCTCTGGTATCTTCAGTGGGGCCATCAGGTGTCTGGCAATCCTGGTATGTCGCTACGGACTGACCGTCTATGGTCTCCGTCTTGTGCTAATAAGATGCAGGCTGCGGAAATTGCTGTGGACTATGCCTTCCTCCGAAAATTTGCTATTGTGCCTTGGAATATCGTCGCCTACAACATCTTTGGAGGAGAAGGAAAGGGCCCAGACATCTTCGGTACAGAGCCTTGGACCTTCTACATAAGGAACCTACTCTTGAACTTCAATATCTGGTTCATATTTGCGATGTCTGCAGCACCTTTACTACTTCTCCAGGCCGTATTCCGGCCCCAATCGACCAAGAAGGAGATTCCGCTACGAACCTTGGCGGTAATTGCGCCATTTTATATGTGGTTTGCGATCTTTACCGCTCAGCCTCACAAAGAAGAAAGGTTCATGTATCCGGCGTACCCTTTTCTTGCTCTCAATGCGGCGATCGCCATCCACATCATTCTATCTTACGTTGGGTCTAAAGACTCTAAAGGGTCCAATGGAGCCTTGATAGCCCAAGCCAAGCTTACTATTGTGACGGTTATTGTTCTTGCCGCTATCAATGCTGGCTTGATGCGGACAGTCGGTATGATCACCGGCTATAACGCCCCTCTAAAGGTGTTCGAACCGCTCGAGCGGCTGGACATTCCCCAAGCGGGCAACTCGGTATGCTTCGGTAAAGAGTGGTACCGATTCCCATCTTCGTTCTTCCTTCCTGATGGCATGCGGGCCAAGTTTATCCGCAGCGAATTCCGGGGATTGCTCCCTGGGGAATTTCCCGATGCCACGGATTATCCTGCTCTTTTTGACGGTACATCCCAGGTCCCCGAAGGCATGAACGACTTGAATCTGGAGGACCCAGGCAAATATGTAAGTGTATAACCAGATGATCTTTCCTTCTCCATTCAGCTAATCCCACACATAGGTTGACATCTCCCAATGCTCATACCTGGTGGACTCGTACTTCCCCAGCCGCGATGCAACCGAGCTGGAGCCCGACTATATCCATGACGAGTCACAGTGGGAGGTGATGTCGTGCAAGCACTTCCTCGATGCTTCGCAAACAGGCCTTATAGGCCGCCTGATCTGGGTCCCTAATCTGCCGGGGCTTCCGAATCAATTGCAGCGTAAATGGGGGCAATATTGCCTGCTGCGGCGACGTGATGTCAACGCCGAGGCGGATTAAACGGTCACATGTACTATCAAGAAGCCCCATTCCACCAATGTAAATAGCCCAGAATGCCATCTCTGGATCTTACCTTCATTCGTATGCGAGATGCGATCCGACAGGTGCCAAACGTAGGGCCGCAGTGCGACTTTACCTGAAGGAGACAAAAGATCCCCCGGGGCTGCAGAGATAAGCATCTTCTTCCCCGCAAACTTTAGATGTCGATCGCATCCGATTAACTGATCCGGCAGTCGACTATCTGATCCCTTGCCAGCCATGATAGCACGCTGCAGCATGATGTATCATCCCTCCGGATGCTGTCCTACATCCTACATCGTGGATTATGATGCTTTAAATCCACCCTCCTTCATCCGTAACCCTACCGTGGAGCAGTCTCCCAACAACATCTATACCTCTCTATAGAAACCATCTCCACCCATGATACCAACAACACCATAAACAGTATCCATCACTATAGAAGCACCCGAAACATGATCTTCACCTCCCTCCCAAGTCCAATCACCCAACACCACCTCACCAACGTCACCGCCATTTGCCTCCTCGCAACCCTTACCACATATCTCCTCCATTCCCTCTGGAAGCGACACCACCTCTCCAAATCCCCCGAAAACGACCCAGAGCAAAAGTCCCTATCTCCCACTTCCAAATTCAAACAGCCCACCCGCAACCCGGGAGAATGGACCCCATCCGACTTCAAGCGACCTCCGGCCGCCCCATACCCAGACTGGGACGTACATACCACCGAGCCCAAGCCCTACCGACCGTTCAGATACGGACCGTAAGTCACACCAGTCTCCCATATCAACACACAAAGCATCTAGGTGAATACAAAGGCTAACAGAGAACCCCACAGTAAATACTTCATCACCATGGGCCTGCGCAGCATGAAATGGGACGAATGGATCGAGCTCGACAACCACTACGCACGCTACCACGCCGACAAAGCCCGCCGGATCGAAGAGCGAGGAGCGAAATGTTCCAGAACAGCTCCAGAAGCCATGGACGCCGCCATGGAGCTCCTGGAGGAACTGTACGTCTCTCCTTTCCTCTCCATACTACTCCTCTATCCACACAAACCATAGACCAAAACCATACCCTTCCCTCCCCCAAAAAGAAACAAGGAAAAAACAACCTACCACCAACTAACCAACCCAAACCACAGAGCAACCTACCTCCCAGAACGCTACCCAACACTCTTCCGCAAAACCCCCACGGGCATAACCAACCTCCTCACCCAAGAAACTCTAACCACCGTGCCTCCCCTCCCCGAAGACCCCATGCAGACCTGCGCCCGCCTCGTCCAAGACGACCTGGCGCTCATGATCGAGCGCCCGGACGGCGAATACTACCTCCTGGCGGGGTCCATCCTGCTTGCCGGCTTCTGGCGCCTAGAAGACAAATACGGGATGCGGTTGTCGGAAATCCACACCTCGGGCTCCGTGCCCGGCTACAAGGAGAAGCTCGAGAAGGGCATGCTGAATTTCTTCCGTCGGCTGCGGCCCGAGGACCCGGTGCTCCGGAACAACTACTTCATCCAGGTGGACGAGAGCCTGCCCTGGTCGCACAGTATCGGGCCCGAGGATAGCGAGACGGTATCGTGGAACACGGCGGAGAAGAACCGCGCGATTGAGCATCATTTCTTCCGCTCGGAGAGGCAGAGTTTGAGAAGATTGCCCAGATCGGGCGCCGTGGTGTTTACTATTCGGACTTATTTTGAGCCCATCACGGAGGTCGTCAAGGAGCCGTATGTGCCGGGTCGGTTGGCTTCGGCCGTTAGGAGCTGGGGCGAGGATGTCGCGCGGTATAAGGGGAGAGAGAAGTATGGGGAGGTTTTGTTGGAGTATTTGGATCGTATGCATGAGATGCAGGTTGCGCAGGGGCTGGAGGTAGACAAGGAGGAGGAGGTTAGGAGTTATCCGTTTTGATTCTTGGGGTTTGGTTGTTTTTTTTTTAAATTTATGAGATATAATGACTTGATAAAAATGTCTTTCTTTTTGTTTCTTTTTGTAGCTGGGTGTTGTATCTTTATGACATTGTAATGGCGTACGCTCTATGATCGTATCATATGTAACTCGCCCAAGTCTGTTCAAAGTCCAACCGGATGTCTAATCTCAGACACATTAGTAGATGCAATGGACCCTTCCGTATATAACCAAATGCTGGAGACAGATTAATCTCCCAAACGCCCACCAATGCCCTAACCCTATACAAAATCTAGATCTAGAATGATTAGACAGCCAGCGAAGACGATCTTCTCCTTCGCTTCGTGAAAGCCACTTCGCGCTCTTGACGCCAGGAACACTCGTCGCGGAACTCACAGATCCGGCATTTCCACGCATCCATGACTTCGACACCTCGTGGGTTACGCTCGCCACGCCACCATTCCATCTGATCAGATAGATAGGCTGTCATCGTCGTAGGGTCAAAGAGAAAAGACCGGCTGCCCAGCACCCGCGACTGTGCATCGGTGGTTGGGGCTGATGACAGGTATCGCGCGGTAAGAAGAGGCGATAGCACGGTCGGATAAGGCTCAAGTAAGCCCGGCTGAAACTCAGAAGGGATCGAGGGTGCCACAGAGACTGGTGTCGAATGAGCGGGTGGGAGGAAGGTGAGCCGGAGTTGGTCTTTCATTAGCTTCCAGAGGCTGGTCAGGTCGTTGTGCGCAAGAAGAATACTGGTCGAGTCCTGGCTGCCAGGGGGTGTAGAGTCCGCCCCTTGCGATGCGCGTTGTCCAGCCGCATCTTCCGGAGTGAGAGTGAAGTCAGATTCAGACTCTGGCGAGGAGCATGTATCGAAGAATTGGTCATTGAGACCGCCTACTTCGGCTATAAAGGTGGCGGTGAACGGGCGCGTGGGATCCAGGTCATAGCGCGAGGCAAGTAGTTCGATGGACACATCGTCACTGGTAGCAAGCCGATTGAGCATATGATAATACATCTGAAGTTGAAGCAGTGTCGGCCGGAACGACGAACTCTTCACAGTGGGAACGGAGGCACTAGCTCGGGTCTTGATGTCTGTCATGTATATTCGGGGCAAATTGAAAGCCTCTGAGGAAGATTCACTGCCGATTCCGGAGTCATCTAGGCTTTCTTCTTCCTCGCCATTCCAGGAAAGGTCAGAGAGCCGTTTGCCACCCTGCGATGGCGACAACAGGTAATCCGAAAGCGACATTTGATACTCGGGCAGCACAGCCCTCGACGCCTCCACGTCGGCATAGTACGACGCGGCCGTCGCTTCAAGCTCTGGGTCCGGACACTCGTAGGAGAGCTGATCAATGACTCCATTCACCAGCTCGCCATCCACCAGCCCCCATACCTCCAGCTCCCGAGTCATACCATACTCCCTCAATGTCCGCAACCCTTGTATGATATTCCATATCCTCAGCGCCAGCGCGTCTTCTTTAGTTGTAATCTCCACCGGGACCGTCATATAAATCTCATCCTCTAACGTCTTATGTATCGTAGTCCCCTTCTTCATCGCTGCAGTTCTCCTCTTCCTCCCAAACTTAGTCAACGTATACCAATACTGCAACTCGCACCACGCCGGCGAAATCAAATCCGTGACCGAAAACGCTTTATTAGGCGGTTTCCGAAACCTCTCGATCGGCGACCGGTCATCTGCAGCAGGATCCGTAGCACCGGTAGTCCATTCTCTCTCACGAGCTATATCCCTCTCGCGCTGCTTCGTCCGGCCCTCAGTAGAATCCGGATGCTCTACTAAACGCTTCGTCAGACCGTCAGCGCCTCACAAGAAAAACAGAACACCAAAGCCAGAAAGAAAGGAAAAGGGGGTTAATACCAAACGCGGCGCCGCCATTGCTCGCCATCTGACCTGCTCTCCCCGCAGCGGGACTCCGCCAAGTCCTCGAAATCTGCCATACAGGCTTTTGCCTCCCCAATACCTTGGGCGTCCGAGGACTCGCTGGAGCGACATGGCAGTCTTCGATGTCGCCTATGGCGCGGTTTGTCTCCTTCGCGGTTGGAGTGGTTATCGATGGTTGGGGCGGTGGTGTCGCGTGGAGAGCCGCGTGTTCCGTGACGGCTTGGGTGAGTAGTTCGTTCAAGATTTCTTCTTCATCCGGTGTGAAGTCGGATCCGTAATCGCTGCTATTGTCGGAGATTGTATCTTTCATTAAACGTTGGGAGGACTGCGGGCAGGACATGCCTGCGATCCTGTCGAGAGTTCATGTCATTGTGATGTGGAAGTGGCGAGGCCGCGGTTGATAAGGTATCGGTTATGATATCCCGTCACCGACTGGACGCGATCTTTCAGGAAGACGGAATTTGGGTACGCAGAAGTAGAATAGCAAGTATGAGAGATCGCGGTGTGTCTATAAATCGCTATTTTTCATAGTCTATCAAGGGCGCTGCAAACACACGCTATCTATAATCCATTCAAACCCACCCAATGCCGCCATATCTAAATCTTTATATAACAAGGGAGAAAAAGAACTCAAAGGGGTATAGGAAAAAAGACATCCAGCTAAGAATGGAACTATGCCTTCAGCGTCGCAGGGGCACCGACACCAATCTGCGAAGCCGCTGCCTCAGCCAACTCATTGGCCTCGACTTCTCGCGCCGCCTTCTGGTTTAACCAGCTGAGATACGTCTGCCATCCGACCGCAATAACTCCAGAGAATATATTCCGGAACTGAGGCGGCACGTACATGAAGCTGAACGCGGTGACTGCGGGCCACAACTTTGCGCTGTTGGTGATGCTCACTGGAAGCGCCTTCTTCAGACGCTCCCAGGTCTCCTCGAAGGTCGCACCAGAAAGCAACGAGTGGACACTGAAGAAGTAGGTGTTGAAGACGGGTGTGAAAACGGCCTGTTGCACGCAGACCTTGGTGAGGATCGAGAGGAACTTGGAGGTGAAATTGAAGTGGTGGTGAAGGAACATGAACCTATTGTTCATTCATTAGCGTATTGTCCCGTTATGCCAAAGCTCAGGACCGGGAATAGCATACCAGGTATACGACGGGATACTTGATCCTGCGCCCACTGTCAAGTGCCGCAATGTCCTCCACGGGTCATATCCTCCTCCCGATGTCGCGGCGCCATTGTCTTCACTCTCTGTCTTTGACGCCGACTCTGATTTTTCTCGGGCTGTATCCTTCACCGATTTGCTATCCGAAGGAAACAATAACTGTGCGCTCAAGTCACCGAATAGGTACACGACAATCGAGCTCCAGAATTGCGTCGCATAAGGCCTTCTTTCCTGAACCCGCGAATATGACCGTCCGAGCTTGCCAAGAGGCCCCTCCACGATAACGTCACGCAGCGATCGAGATCTGGCACCGGCGGGGACTGTACGCGGGGTGGGGGAGGGACAGGAGGGTTGCGTCGATGAGGGAGGAGCGGCTTGGGATTGAGCGTTTTGGGGGGTACGTTCTTCTCCGGGCTCTTCGGCGATGAGCTGGTAGATCGATTTCCTTGAGGCCGTATGCGAGATGGCAGATGGGACCGCGAAGATAGCGTTGGCCGTTTGCCAAGCTGGGCAACAAGTGTATGTCTCATATTTTTCGTTGTGCTGTGCTATAGGAATCTCGCATATGGATAGGAAGGCGATCAACCGATAACCATAACAAGCCTGTTGAGAATAGTCCCGAGTGACGTGTCGAAGCCCAGGAGCCGCACACGAACAGCAGCACGGTCAGCAAAAAATAAGGCACATCATGTTGAGTCAAAATTGAATCAGCGCAGGAGATTTATTCCGCCATCAGCGCTGTCGGCACTGCGTCTCTGCCGAGGGTCGGCGGAGGCAAGCCTTTCCGGTCGGAGACACCATCTATTGGCCCTTAAGTCCGAGATAAAGATACCAATGTCGAATCTGGATTCACGATGCAATGATTAAGTATATTGGATTCTCTCTATACATACATCCACCAGATCAGATTCCAACGCCACGGTCTATAATGCAAGCAAACACAAGAAATATACAATGGCACGCCGGGTATATCAACATGAAACAGTCGTCTAAATAATATAAGAGTCGAGCCCTCGGAAAAGGACTCAATGCATCGACACAAAACTTTTTTCTCTTCCATCACGCACATCTCACATCAACACGTTGAGTGCTATCAAACAAACGGGTATAAGGATAAAAAGGGGTAATAGATACTAAAAATTATCGACATAGTCGGTATCGGTATATGTAGAATGTCGGGAATGTCAAGACCTTGAAGGTTGGCTGCGCAATAATCCTTCGGTAGGGACTACACGAGTCAATTTCATTTGAAGGACTCGCGAGTATGAACGCGATCGATATCATATGGGTTCCCGTCATAGATCGACTGACGCGCAGAACCAGCGGTCCGAACCGATGACTTAGTGCGAACTTGATGCACCGGCGGCAGCTCGCCAACATGCGAGTCGCTTTCATCATCGCTACTATCGGACACCTCAACACCAGGCGCCTCCGTGCGGTCAAAGGCATTTTCTATTTCCTTGTCGTCAGGCTCACCCTGCTGTTGCTTAATCTGCTGCGCCATCTTGCGCATAAAGGCATCGGATTCGGCGGCGTACTTGCAGCGCATGCGGATCTTGGGGCCGTAGATATAGAACAGGAACGGGAACGGCACACATGCAAGAGCCAGGAAGGCAGGAATGGTGGATGCCCAATGAATGCCAAGGTCTTTGTACATATACGTCGTGAAAAGCGGGAAGGCGGCACCAAAGACCGATCGCAAAACTGAGTTTGCTGCCAGGACCGACGCGGCGAAGATGGTATATGTGTCAATGAGGTAGGTCAGGATACTCAAGAACACCAGAACCATTCCAAAACCGAAGGGGGCTCCTGCCGCGACGCAGGCCATCCAGTGGATAGATGGGTAGTTCGTCCAGGCAAACCAGAAGAGACCGATGGGAATAGCGAGCGAAGCAATCATGCATGGTGGGAGACGTGCTTCGGGGGGAGCGAACCCTCCGTGTTGTTCGTCAGTCTTGACATACCGCTTGTTGTCGAAAATGCTGTAGGCCACAGCAGCCAGCATCCCGATCATGATACCAAGGAATGGAAGGCTGCCCACGCCCTGGTTCCATCCGCGGACCATCTGGAACACAATTGGGTAGGCGGCGAAGAGCATATACAAGGTGCCATACACAATAGCCATGTACAGAGACAGCAAGAACACAATAGGCTCCCGGAAGAGGAGGATCCAGGGACGCGACAATGCGGTGCCGAACGCTTGCTTGAGACTGACCTTGCCCTGGTCGATGTCCAATTTGCTGAGATAGACCTTACCGGTAATCTTAGACAATCTCTCTGCCCGGCGACGAAGAAGAACCGGTGCATATGTTTCAGGTGTGAACAGGGAGGCTACGATCCAGACGAAGCCAGAAAAGGCTCCCAAGAAGCCCATCACCCATCTCCACCCGGCATTCATTCCCAGGAAACCTCCAATGATGGGGCCGAGAACGGGCCCTATATGAAAGATCAGTCCAAGAACATTTCCAGAATATGAAGAAACAGTATAAAGAGAAACCTACCCAGAAATGGAGCAGCCGCAAAAAGACTCGTCGCAACACCTCTCTCTTTAGCAGAGAACATGTCGGCAATGACACCTCCCGCATTGGTAAGAGGGGAGGAGCCAAATGATCCAGCGAAAAATCGAAGGATGATCAGAGTCTGGATGTTCTGGGCGCCAGCGCTTCCACAGTTGAAGGCAGTCAAAGCGAGGTAAGTGATAAAGAAAATGATCTGACGGCCGAACATTTCACTCAGAGGAGCCCAGAGCAGAGGTCCTATTCCGGTCAGTTGAAGAAGAAGATATTCGCGAAAGAGCAAAAGACATACCGATGGCAAAACCAAGGACGAAGAGCGAAACACCCAGGGTAGAAACTTCGGTACCGACGTGAAACTGCTGTCTGATCTGAGCAACACCACCGGTATAGGCTGATGAAACCAGCGCAACGGCCAGGGTCGAAATGGCAGCAAGCATAGTGATGAACCATTTCGTGCTACTGGCGAACTGCATAGGGTTCCGTGGATCATTGGGGAGCCAGGTGACAGCATATGGATCCTCTTCTGTTCCTGAACCCGGATACGGATGATCGATGACTTCCTGGGTCACGGCTCCCTGATCCATAACCATGCGCCAATATGGGATTTTCCGGCTCATGGGCGACTCGCCGAGAGCCCCCTTTTCGTTCGACATGGTGGAAGAAGCTGTGTTTCGTATCACAATGAGGACAGTGAACAACGGCGGTTAGGAGTAGGAGACGGTGTCGTGCGACTTGGTCAAAGAGACGGACAAAGGGCGGCTACAGCTGAAGTCTCTCGCGTATTAATAGAGCAAACAAGTGCTGCTGTTTGTTATCAGATAGGATGATCCCTGTCCAAGATACTATATTGGCCGAATGCGGTAAGTGTATTCGGTATAGTCGGCGGTATTGAAATTCAAGGTGTGGGCAACCAAGAATGTCGATCAGGAAAATTAAAATAAAATCAAGATTAAATCTATTAAAAGGTTAAGGAACGGTACCACACAAATCCAGGGCCGGAAAAAGTAGGATTGAAAGGGACGTTAGAGATCTATATATACATCTGGGTCTAAAGAAATTTTTTTTCCCTTTGCTTTAGTGACAGCGTCAGTTTGTAGTAATTTGCCTCGGATCTAAGCCGGTCTCAGGTCCCTCTGGTACGAAACAAAGCTGCAATTTAAAGGAATGGGGCCAAATGCACCCGAGTTCTGAGCATTATTTGCCGTTATGCAGTGCATACACTGGTCGCCTTGGACGGAGTGGATCCTAAGACCCATCTGTTAAAGCTCTGGATCCATGGGCTAACCGAGTGCCTCGTGGCTTAGGGAAATTATCCTGGAAAGTTTTTTGATTAGTCGAGTTTATTCGTCGGGGGTATGACTCTTTGAGAGAGTGCCTCCGTAGGGCCATTTTCTTGATTACAGATCCATATATGAGTTGTGAAGGATCATAAAATCGTACATAAGACATCGTCAGTGTCGTCTTATCTATCCAATCTAAGGTAAGCATGCTCTCATATCAGGATATTCGAGTGAGGGGGGAAATTGCATCACGGTGTCGAAATCGCTTGACAAGAACAGGTGACCGAATGACTCGTCGGCCCGATTATTTCATCAGCCGCATCAGGACGTCAGCCCGTCACTCCCTGCACCCATAAAGTCTCCCGCTTCGGGTTAGAATATCTTTTCGCATCCGATTTCAGCCACAGTTCATAGACTGACTTTTGTTGCTGGTAAGGCCACGACCACATAGCATGATTGCCTCGTATCCATAACGTAAAGGGGGTTCATTACTAGTATATCCCAATAATATTCTGTCGGGATCTTCCACACGAACAATGTTCCTGGACCTCCTCCCAGGTTTCCATGTTCTCAATATCGTGGCCCATAAAACTAAGCATCGGCTACTCTTCTTGTCATGGCCCCTTGGCAAGTCGTGATATCCGGCTAGGGACGATCATCTACATGCTAACGCCTCGGATCTATTCCCTATATATGAAAAAGGTTTAATCGGGATCTCCTACGAAGCGTAGTACCAACTATCTAAGTGCATATTTACAAAGAAACCCATCATCAGGGGACGTTAGCCTTAAGGCTGCAAAGTCTGTTGGGGACTCGGCGTGCCCGTCTTGGACCCACAAGCGGGAGTCCATAATCCCAAAGCGGTTTAGCCCCGGTGCCACTAAATCATTCTGGGCCTTTTCGAGCCACCCTAGAATCCGACGGTAATTGCCCTAGGTCCTGGTGTATGTTGCTGCATAAAGTCGGAGAACGATGGGTCGTGCCTTATACTTTATGCTGACCCAAGATACAACCTAGAGTCTTGGATGAAGATCGGCCATCTGTCCCTCTTGTGACATAACAGGTCGATAAGCGCGACAAGCTGTGTTAATCTCCTTCTGTATTCGCTGATATCTTACTTTTTGAACTGGAAGGATGCATATTCGTGCGCCCACTTCTTGCCGCCTTGTCTGTAAGGCAACAATCTATACGTCGACTTGATAGCGGCGGTGCGACAGGGATTTATTATTCGCTACGATTAATCCTGGTGCCTTCAGCATGGGATGTAATTAGATATGCTACCTGGTCAGTCGGTAGTGGCCTGCCATTTACCTGGTAATAGCAAGTTGTATGGTTGCTGCATCGACATGTCAAATTGCGGGTTATATATCTACGTACATCCAAACCTGAAGTACCCCTTGTCAAGATCTCATATTCATCTAGCATAAAACTTAAACGATATATTATGTACTACTATCATATATCCTGTCTTGATCTTCCTTAACATCCCCATTTTTTTT